ATTCCAGCACTTTGGGAGGCCAAGGCGGGCAGATCACGAGGTCAGGGGATTAAGACCATCCTGGCCAACATGGTGAAACCCTGTCTCTACTAAAATACAAAAAACTAGCCGGGTCTGGTGGTGCTTGCCTATAGTCCCAGCTGCCCCAGAGGCTGAGGCAGGGGAATCCTTTGAACCCGGGAGGCAGAGGTTACCGTGAGCCCAGATTGCACCACTGCACTCCAGCCTGGTGACAGAGCAAGACTCTATCTGGGGAAAAACAAAAAAAAAACAACAAAAAAAAACCAACAAAAACAACTTCATTGAGATACAATTTGCGTACCATACAACTAATCCATTTAAAGTGTACAATTAATTGATTTTTGTGTATTACATTAATTTTATATTGTGGAAGAATAATATATAACGGTTTGCCATTTTAACCGTTTTTAATTGTACAATTTGGTGACTTTAACTACATTTATAGTGTTGTTCAGACATCACCACTGTCTGTATTCAAAATTTTTTCCTCACTCTAAACAGAGATTCTGTAGCTATTTAGCAATAACTCTATAGGCCCTCCTTTCTGCAGTCCCTGGAAACCTCTGCCTACTTTGTCTCTCTGGACTGCCTTTCTGGATATTTCATATTAATAGGATTACATAGTATTTGTTCATTTGTCTTGTTCATTTCACTTGTGTTTTCAGGGCTCGTATGTTTTGTAGCATATGCCAGAATTTCATTCCTTTTTATAGCCCAATAATAGGCTATTGTATATATATTCTACATTTCATTTACCTCTTCCTGTGTCATTGGATACCTGGGTTGTTTCCTTCTTTTGACTTGCATGTAATGAAGTCAACACTGGTGAACAGTATTGAGTGCCTGCTCTGTTTTCTTGATTATGTACCTAGGAGTAGAATTGGCGGATTGTATAGAAGAAACACTGTAGCTTTTTGAGGAACCCCTAAACTGTCTTCTATAGTGGCTGCACTATTTTACATTATGTAAATGTATGAAGAGTTCCAGTTTCTCCACATCTTTGTCAACACTTAGTTTCTATTCTTTTTGATTGTAACCACTGTAATACCTGTGAAATGATACCTCATTGTGGTTTTGATTTGCATATTTAAAGACTCATGATGTTGAGAATATTCTCGTGGTTATTGGCCATTTGTGTATGTCCTTACAGAAATGTTTATTCAAGTCCTTTTTTTAAATTTTAAAATCAGACAGGGTCTTGCCCTGTTGCTCAGGGTAGGGTGCAGCCTTGACTTCCTGGGTTCAAGCGACTCTCTCACCTTAGCCTCCTGCGTAGTATAGGCGCACACCACCACACCTGGTTAATTTTTTTTTTTTTTTTTTTGGTTGAGGCTGGGTTTTGCCAGGTTGCCCAGGCTGGTCTCCCACAGCCTCCCGAAGTGCTGGGGTTACAGGCATGAGCCACCATGCCTGGCCTATTCAAGTCCTTTGATTTGGGCTTTTATTTTACTTTATTTTAAATTAAAAATTTTTTTCTTAGTGTATTCTACTACCTTTATGACTTGGGTTTTTAAATTGGGTTGTCTTTTTTGTTAAATTGTAAAAGTTCTTAATATATTCTGGATATTAAGCCCTTGTCACATATGTGGTTTCTGAATATTTTCTTCCATTCTGTAGGTTTTGCAGAATAATTTTAATTAAGTTAATTTTATCTATTTTTTGTTTGTTTGTTTCTTCTGCTTTTGGTGTCATATCTAAGAATACATTGCTAAATCCCAGGTCATGAAGATTTACTCCTGTTTTTCTTAGAGTTTTATACTTTTTGCTCTTCTATTTAACTTGTTGGTCCATTTTGGGGTCATTTTTGTATATGAAGTGTGGTAGGGTTCAACCTTATTCTTTTGCATGTGGAAATTCCATTGTATCTTCACCATTTTTGTAAAGGCTGTTTTTTCTTATTGAATGGACTTGGCACCCTTGTCAGAATCAACTGGCCATAGATTATGGATTTATTTCTGAACTCTCAATTCTGTTTTATTGGTCTGTATGTGTGTATCCTAGGCCAGTATGACACTATTTTGATTGTTGTAGCTTTGTGGTAAGTTTTGAAATCGAGAAGTGTGAGTTCCTCCAACTTTGTTCTTTTTTTAAGAATGTTTGGCTTTTGGGCATCTTGCAATCTAATATGAATTTGAGGATTGGCTTTTCCATTTCTGCAAAAGTGGCCAATAGAATTTTGATAGCATTGAATTTTGATTGCATTGAATCTGTAGCTCACTTTGGAGAATATTGACGTCTTGATAATATTAGGTTTTTCTGTTTATGAACACAGATGTCTTTCCATTTATTTAGGTCTTTTAACTTCTTTGAGCAGTTTTGTTTTTGTTAGATAGGGTTTGGTTCTGCCACCCAGGCTTGAGTGGAGTAGTACTGTCAATGCTCACGGCAGTCCTGACCTCCCAGAATCAAGCCATCCTCCCGCCTCAGTCTCCCAAGTAGCTGGGACTACAGGCACGTGCTGCCATCCCTGGATATTTATTTTGCATTTTTAGTAGACACAGGGTTTTTCCATGTTGCCTAGGGTGGTCTCAAAACTCCTGGGCTCAAGTGATCCACCTGTTGAGGTCTCCCAAACTGCTGGAATTATAGGTGTTAGCCTGGCCTTGAGCAACATTTTGTAATTTAAACATACAAGTCTTTCACCTCCTTGTTTACATTTATTATCAGGCATTTTTTTTCTTTTAGATATGATTTTAAATGGAATTGCTTTCTTAATTTCCTTTTCTAATTGTTACGTTACTTCTTATCCACAGTATTACCTTATGTGGTTTTACTTACCTGCAGTAACCCATGGTCCAAAAGTATTGAATGGAAGATTATAGAAATAAACATTTCATAAGTTTTAAATTGCAAACAGTTCTGAATAACATGATAAAATCTCACAGCCTCCTGCTCTGTCCTACCTAGGATATGAATCATCCCTTTGTCCAGCATATTCATGCTGTATGTGCTCCCCACCTGCTAATTACATACTAGCCATCTCAGTTATCAGATAACTGTTGCAGTATTGCAGAGCTTGTGTTCAAGTAACCCATACTTATTTAAAGTGGCACCAAAGAGCAAGAGTAGTGATGCTGGCAATTCACATATGCCAGAGAGAAGCCATAAAGTGCTTCCTTTAAGTGAAAAGGTGAGTTTTTGACTTAGGAAAGGAAAAAGATCATATATTGGGGCTGCTGAGATCTGTGGTAAGAACAAATCTTCTGTTCATGAAATTGTGAAGAAGGAAAAAGAAATTTGTGCTAGTTTGGTTGTGACTCAAACTGCAACAGCTATGGTCACAGTGTGTGATAAATGCTTAGTTAAGATGGACAAGACATTAAATTTGTGGGTGGAGGACACAAACAGGAAGCATGTTTCGATTGATGGCAACCTGGTTTGGTACTGTTCATCGTTTTGGACATTCACTAGGGACTTCGAATTTCAAAAATAAGATGGTTTAGTAGCTGTATACTCTTTATCACATGGATGGAACATAATTTGGTTGTATCAGCATTTTGGTGTTTTTTTTTTTTTTTTTTTTTTTAGAGGGAGTCACTCTGTCGTCCAGACTGGAGTACAGTGATGCGATTTTGGTCTGCTGCAACCTAAGCCTCCTGGGTTCAAAGAGATTCTTGTGCCTCAACCTCCTGAGCAGTGGGGATTACAGGCGTGTGCCACTATGTCCAGCTAATTTTCATATTTTTAATATGAATGGGGTTTCTGCATGTTGGCCAGGCTGGTCTCTAACTCTTGGCCTCAAGTGATCTGCCTGCCTCAGCCTCCCAAAAAGTGCTAGGATTATAGGTGTGAGCCACACCACCCGTCCTGGTGTGTATAAGCATTTTGGACTTTGAAATTTATGTAAACGAGACAGGCTGTGGACTTTATTACTTGAAGAATTCAATATTTATTTCTGCTTTTTGATTCCTTGACTGTAAAATACTAATCTGATTTTTAGAGAGAACAGTACATGGACCAGGGAATCCTCAGTGCCTTAATAGGTTTTGAGTACTTACTCTTTCCCATAGAGGCTTACACATGGTACGAGAAGAGATTTCTGGAATATCTTTCCTTCCCAAAAAAAGATGGTTTCTTTTGTTTGCTAAGTGAGAGAGTGGTACCACATGGTTTCTAAGGTTTCCAAGGCTGATGAAAATTCTTAACTTCTGTTGTCTACTTGTCCTGCTATTCTTGAATTTATTTTTTGTATGTATGTATTCACTTATTATTTAGAAACAGGGTCTCTCTCTGTCACCCAGACTGGAGTGCAGTGTCATGATCATAATCCACTGCACTATCAACCTCTGGGGCTTAAGTGATTCTCCTGCCTTGGCCTCCTGAGTAGTTAGGATCACACAGACATGCTCCACCATGCTTGGCTATTTTTTCCCCCTGGAAACAGGATCTTTTGTTGCACAGGCTAGTGTCAAATTCTTGGCCTCAAAGCGAGCCTCCCACCTTGGTCTTGAAAAGTGCTAGAATTAAAGGTGTGAACCACTGTGCCCAGCCTATTTTTTTGGGGGATGGAGTCTCCTGTACAGGTTGGAGTGCAGTGGTGCGATCTCGGCTCACTGCAACCTCTACTTCTGGGTTCACGTGATTCTCGTGCCTCAGCCTTCCAAGTAGCTGGGATTACAGGCACCTGCCATCATGCCCAGCTAATTTTTGTATTTTTGTAGAGATGGGGTTTTACCATGTTGACCAGGCTGGTCTTGAACTCCTGATCTCAGGTGATTCATCTACCTCAGCCTCCCAAAGTGTTGGGATTATAGGCGTGAGCCACCGCGCCCAGCCCTATTCTTTGTTTCATTATAGGAAATTCTAAAACATGGAATCATGTATTCAGTGTATACATCCATTTTTCAGTCTTTAAAAGAAAACCATTGGACAAAATGACATTTAACATAAACTTCATAAGGACAAATTTTTGCTACTTTTGAAAAAATGTTGGAGAATATTTCTATATGAAAAGTAAAATAACTTTTACTTTTTTTTAGAAGTCAATGAAAGGATTCTATTTTGCAAAGCTGTATTATGAAGCTAAAGAATATGATCTTGCTAAAAAGTAAGTACAAGCTTCTTTTTTTTTAGAAGTCAATGAAAGGATTCTATTTTGCAAAGCTGTATTATGAAGCTAAAGAATATGATCTTGCTAAAAAGTAAGTACAAGCTTTAAACATGTATTTGTTTTTTAAAATCAGTGTGTTTCCTCCATTTTCTTCTTTGAAATAGGTAAAAATATGTTCTTTAGTAGTTCTTCCTAAGTGTATTCTGGAATAAGGGATTTATCACGTGGTCTGATGCTAAGGACCAGCCTAGATTCCATTGAGATTGAATGTGTAATTAGTGTTTTCTGCATGCTGCTGTTTGTTTATACCAAGGGCAAGAAACTGGCTTAAAACATTTTTTTCTAAAAATTGTCTTGTATTAGAATAAAAAAGGACCATGCCTATGTCTTAATTTATTTTTGGTTAGGTATCTGATACCTTAATCAGATGGAAAATATCAATGCAAAAATAATTAAACTGTAATTGCAAGGCAGAATAGCTTGTATAAAAGATCTTTAATTGATGTAGTATGTGACGCTCCAAGGCTCTATCCTGGGGATTAAGAAGCTTGGTGATTCTGATTTCCTGACTTGGAGTGGATTAAAGCAGAAAATTAAGAGGGAGGCAGGCTTTTTGTTTTGAGGTAGTATCTGTCTCTCTTGCCCAGGCTGGAGTGCAGCGGCTGGCTCCATCTTGTCTCACTGCAACCTCTGTCTTCTGGGCTCAAGAGTTCCTCCCACCTCAGCCCCTCCAAGTAGCTGGGAATACAGATGTGCACCATCATGCCTGGCTAATTTGTGTATTTTTTGGTCGAGACAGGGTTCACTGTGTTGCCCAGGCTAGTCTTGAACTCCTCAGCTCTAGCAGTCTGCCTGCCTCAGCCACTTACAGTGTTGGGACTGTAGGTGTGAGTTATTGCTCTTAGCCGGGAGGCAGGCTTTTAAAGGCATCCAAAGGAAGATGGAAATGCTGATAAGAAAGGAAAATGGTGGTACATAAATTGTGTAACTAGCAGCATTGTGACTGTTAATCCTTATACCTTGTTATAGTGAGACTTTGCTCCCTTAGTTTAGGTCTGGCCTAATTTCTCTGATGGTAATCCTGTCAAGTATTAATAAGTAAATATCCTCTAGGATATCCTAGAGGCAACTTCTATTTCTCAAATTAGGTAACAACTAAAAATAAGTAAATATCTAAAAATAAGGATATTTACTTATTTTTAGTTGTTACTTGATTTGAGAAATGGAAATTGCTGTATTGTTATTGTAGTTAGTAATTTTTCTTCTGTTCCATTTTAGCTGGGTGTAGTACTGTTAGAAATTACTATCATGCTTAAAGGGTAAATATATTCTCTTTGTTGTTTGGACAATTGTTGCTCTTTAGTATTTTGCATTATAATAACTTTAAAAATGTTTACTATAATCACTTTTCTAATTTTTTTGCAAAATTCAGTGCTTTACTAAAATGTGATCAGGAAGAAAAAGCAATTTATATGTTCATTTCTTAATGTGTGGTTAACACTGGAGAAAAATGTAAATGTGACATTTAATGGTAAAATGAGTATGTTGTCAATGCTATGTACGTGTTTTTAAGTATTACCCGTTTTTTTCTATGAATACTTTTGAGTTATCCACATAAATAGTGGTAGCATTGAGTAACAATATAAACTAGTTTAGTGGTTGCCTTGGTTTGAGATGTATTCTTTAGTTAGCATTTAAAAGTACAGTTCTAAGTTTAATTTACTTTTGTATTACTTTTAAAAAACAGATACATATGTACATACATTAATGTGCAAGAGAGGGATCCCAAAGCCCACAGATTTCTAGGTCTTCTTTATGAATTGGAAGAAAACACAGATAAAGCTGTTGAATGTTACAGGGTAAGTTACATGATTCTATAGCCTTTGCATAGCCAAACACGTGATGGCCAGAGAAGTTTATATGAGTAAATCAGATATATTTTATGAATATCATAAAACAAGCATTGGTATCATAGAACCATTATGTGACATAGCTTGAAAAATATTTACAATTATTTAACACCTATAAATTTTAAATCTAACATGGTCAGAAATGGTACTCTTTTGTATTTTTTGCATTGATGATAAAAGTGTAATTTTTATTTGATTCATTTCCAGAAAATCCCAAGACACTTTTATTTAAACACACTTGAAGTAACGTATTTTCTCTAGAAATAGAATTTTTTAACAGTTGCAGTGATAATTTTTTAACTTTTGTGTGAGAGTACATATGCATACATACATAAAATTTATTATTTACTAATCTTTAATTTCTTTTCTGTTATTAGCGTTCAGTGGAATTAAACCCAACACAAAAAGATCTTGTGTTGAAGATTGCAGAATTGCTTTGTAAAAATGATGTTACTGATGGAAGAGCAAAATACTGGGTTGAAAGAGCAGCTAAACTTTTCCCAGGAAGTCCTGCAGTTTATAAACTAAAGGTAAAAAAAATAAAGGGGGAAAACTTGAAACATAGCCATTTCTAATATTTGGAGTTTAAATTTTCAGTAGCAAACCTTAAGCCCAGGTGTTTGTGTTTTCTTTAGAATTTTTCTTTTAAAAAATATATTAAAACCTTTCTGAGCATCTGCTGTCTTATTAGAGATTATTATGCTTTATAAGTGACATCTCATTTACCCTTCTGGAATAATTAATATTTTAGGGATTTTACGGTTTAGTAGCTGGTGATAGAGCTAAGATTTACATTAAGTTCTGCCTGGTACACAATTTTTGCTTCATTAAGTGAAAATTACCTACAGGATGATAATTTAGGAATATTTTAAAGAAAAGTTTTCTAATAACTATTGTCTGAAAGTAGAAGGGATTATATTTTCAGATAGTAAGGTTTTCAAGCAAAAGATAAAAGGTGGTTTCTCTAGTATATAAGATGTCATTGCTTAAAAATGATAGGAAGTTCTTGCTAGTGTGTTGACTGGTCCTGATATTCTTTCTAAAGTAAAATACAGCTTACTAAGTAACTCTTCTGGAGAAAGTCTTTAAGAGTATGTTTGGCACACATTTAAAATATATATTGTTATATAATGTTTAATATATATTAATGTATACTTAATTATGTATGTACAATATTAAATAAATTATAAATGTATATTTGCCTTTAGCAGCCTCCCACTCCCATTATATATGTTTCTGATGGAAATTTAAAATACAGAATTTTGAAATAATTAAAAACAATTTTTTTTTTTTTTTTTTTTGAGACAGAATCTTGCTCTGTAGCCCAGGCTGGAGTGCAGTGGTACTATGTTGGCTCACTGCAACTTCTGGCTCCCGGGTTCAAGCAATTCTTGTGCTGTGGACTCTTGAGTAGCTGGGATTAAGGGTGCACCACCATGCCTGGCTAAGTTTTGTATTTTTAGTAGAGACGGATTTTACCATATTGCCCAGGCTGGTCTTGAATTCCTGACCTCAGGTGATCCACCTGCTTCAGCCTCCCAAAGTGCTTACACTTTGTAATCCCTGTAAACCTGGGATTACAGGTGTGAGCCACCATGCTCAGCCTTAACCATTCACATTTGAGAGGCATTTTGCTTATTTCCAGTTTTTGGCTATTGTTCAACTGCTATGAACAACCATGTTACAGATTTTTGAAGCTGAAAAACCATTGAAAATGCTTCCAAAGGGAAATATTACTAACAAGTTAAACTTTTCTCTTCAGTAATAAGCAGCTGGATTTTAAATAGTAGTCTAAAACGTTAGGTCTAATTGTGCAAATATCTTTACCATACTTTCTTAGGTGTTATACCTCAAACATAATTCCCATATTGGGCGTGACAGTCTAGTGTATGTCACTTTATTTGATGTCAGTAGTGTTAAAGAACGTATGTAATGGTAGGGGCTTCTTTTCTTGCAGTGTAACTAGTTAGATACTTTGAAGTATTCTTTTTTTTTTTTTTTTTTTTTTTTTTTTTGAGACAGAGTTTCACTCTTGTTACCCAGGCTGGAGTGCAATGGCGCGATCTCAGCTCACCGCAACCTCCGCCTCCTGGGTTCAGGCAATTCTCCTGCCTCAGCCTCTGAGTAGCTGGGATTACAGGCATGTACCACCATGCCCAGCTAATTTTTTGTATTTTTAGTAGAGATGGGGTTTCACCATGTTGACCAGGATGGTCTCAATCTCTTGACCTCGTGATCCACCTGCCTTGGCCTCCCAAAGTGCTGGGATTACAGGCTTGAGCCACCGCGCCCGGCCTGAAGCATTCTTTAAAGATTTTCTTCAGTAACTTTAAGGCACTGTTAAACCTTTCCTATATCAGATTTTTCTTTGTTTTGAAATTGAAATTCATAAGATTTATAACTCATGCAAAGTATTTCATTTCTCCTAAAATTTAAGGCTTGCTAAGGTAAGCAGCTTCTGACATTTGTTTAATGTATGAGAGTATTGCAGTTGAAGGCTTTTTCTCTCAAGCATGACATAGAACTTTTTAAAAGCACTCACAATGGTTTAAAAATCTTTTTTTTTTTTTTTTAAACATAGAGTCAAAGACTAGGGCTTCTGTAGATAGGGAGAGGCCAGAATATAAAGGAGAGAGGAGAATGAAATACAGAACACCAGTGGGTGGCTTGGTCTTTGGTAGCAGAGAGAGTGGGGGGAAGATGAGTTTAAGTAGGTAAGGTAAAATGGAATTTATATGTGATAGCATCAGGTGTCTCAGTGAAGGATGAATCTAGATTGTAAGTTGAAAGTGAGGGTCAAAGGAAGGTATGGGAAAGTTGAGGAAATAGGAGGAGGTGGGAAGAGTCAGAGAGTGGAGAAAGTGAATCTGTTAGTAAAATAGTATTTTGTTTTAGGCAGCACCAGTTTGAGGGTTGAGATAATGAAAATGAAATCAGTTAGCCTGGGGTTGTGACTTCTCAAATGTAAGTACACAGAAACCAGTTGGTAGGGTTCTTCTGAGGAAGAGAGGGAATTAGTTGAAGGGATCTAAGCAAACAATTATGGATGTAAGGGGTTATAGCATTTTATGACTAACAGAAGAAAGTATGTGTTCACAGATATTTAAATCTTTGTGATATCATTGTCCTGAAAGGAACTCATTATGTGGTGGTGAAGTATATTTCTGGCAGTAAGGGTACGTAGGCCCCCAGTGAGGTAGAAGAATAAGAAGGGTGTGGTGGTTTCAGTGGTATGACCAAAGTACAGATTTCGAAGACCTGTGTCAGTGGCAAGTGGATGGTTGAGGATGGAGTGGAGGACAACATTACTGGAGATGAGGTGATTAAAGAACTGAGTAGTCAGCCTGGGCAACATGGCAAGACCCCATTTCTACAGAATATTAAACAAAAATTAGCATGCCTGTGGTCCTAGCTTCTTGAGAGGCTGATGCAAGAGCATGGCAAATGAGAAGTGAGTGGCCACAAACCCTACTTCCTCTCCTGGTATATAAGTTCAGAGAGAAAAAGCCATCCTGGTAGTGGGGGTTATCCTGAGATGATACTTCATTTAAGGTAAGGAGGTGATGACAGTGTTTTGAGATGACGATGAAGGTATCAGAACAGTGGGAAGAGAGGGGATGCAAGATTGAGTCAGATTATGGAGATACAGAGCAATTTGAAGATAAGGACCTTGTTGCTGAGGATCAACTGGTGAGGTCCAGGCTTCTGGTGGTGTCTCAGGTGGATAGGGTTGTGTGGCAATAGTCCTGGTAGTCTCTGAGGAGAGTATGAGCTACTGCAGTAATCACAGATGCTTTTCTCCACATATAATTTTTGAGACTTAGTTTCTGGTTTGTAAGCAATTCTCTGAAGGGACAAAAGTAAGGTATATAGGATGGTATTTTTGGTGGCATTATCATAAAGCTAGGCATAGTAGAATGGTGCTCATTGGGACCATGACTTGTAAAATTGCACAGGTGGTACTCTAATGATTTTTTTTCTCTCTAGGAACAGCTTTTAGATTGTGAAGGTGAAGATGGATGGAATAAACTTTTTGACTTGATTCAGTCAGAACTTTATGTAAGACCTGATGACGTCCATGTGAACATTCGGCTAGTGGAGTTGTATCGCTCAAATAAAAGATTGAAGGATGCTGTGGCTCACTGCCATGAGGCAGAGAGGAACATAGCTTTGCGTTCAAGTTTAGAATGGAATTCATGTGTTGTACAAACCCTTAAGGTAGGTAAAAGCTATTGGGTCTTTAAATTTCTATGTAGTCAGTTAGCATACATCTTTTTGTATTAAAGCAAGACTTAATTCTTTTTTTAAGAAAATAATTTCTTAGTAAGAAATTAATGACTTAATTTCTTTTATTAATGTAGAACAATTATACAATGAAATTTTTAATAGAATCAGTTAAGTTTATAATGGGAAAATTGGGGAGGTAACTATGATAAATATATATGTTTTTGGTGTTTTCATTTATAAGGTTAATGTAAAAATCAATATAGTTTCATGAATGTGGTTAGAATGAGAAAAGAAAATTGTAGGCATAAAATGGTTAATTTTTCAACATTTGATTGTGTTTTGTAACTTACTGTTCATTCCACAAAATAGGAATATCTGGAGTCTTTACAGTGTTTGGAGTCTGATAAAAGTAACTGGCGAGCAACCAATACAGACTTACTGCTGGCCTATGCCAATCTTATGCTTCTTACGCTTTCCACTAGAGATGTGCAGGAAAGTAGAGAATTACTGGAAAGGTATGTTGACTTTGAGAAGAACACTTCAGTATAAATCACAGTTTTCCTTTTTGCAGTAAATTCATTGCTCTAAACTTCTTTACTGAATCATTATTTCTATAATCTACCCAGGAGTTATAGTTAATACAGTGAACCACTTGGAGTCAATCATATTTTTCTTTTATGGGGATGTTGCAATTGGTTTTATATGACTTTCCTTTTTAAAGAACTCTTACAGTTCAAGCTTGATTAAAATTAGACTTATAGTTAAATACTCAGTTTTGTCACAGTCAGGCCTAAGATGAATGTTCTAACTGCTATTTCTTTTTCTTTTTTTTTGAGACAGAGTCTCGCTCTCTTGCCAGGATGGAATGCAGTGGCGTGATCTTGGCTCACTGCAACCTTTTCCTCCTGGGTTCAAGTGATTCTACTCCCTCAGCCTCCTGAGTAGCTGAGACTACAGGCACGTGCCATCACGTCCAGCTAATTTTTGTATTTTTAGTAGAGACGGGGTTTCATCATGTTGGCCAGGATGGTCTTGATCTCTTGACCTTGGGATCCACCCTCCTTGGCCTCCCAAAGTGCTGGGATTACAGGCATGAGCCACTGTGCCTGGCCAATAACAAAAGCATTTTTTTCTGAAAATAATTATTTTCCAACAGCAAAATAGTAGTCAGACAGTGTCATCGTTCTTGCATTTTTGTATATCTTTTTAATGTCTCACTTAATAAAACATAGCTAGATTCTCATTTACTTCCTCTTCAGTCTGGAAAACTATATATATCATAAAACCGCCAGAAAACTCAGCTCTACATAAATGAGAAAATGAGAATTTAAAATATAAAATATCTTAGTGTTGTAAAAGCAATTTTAACTTTATGGATTACCTGAAGGGGTTTTTGAGAACCCTTAGCGATCTCCAGACCTCACTTGCTCTGGTTGCTTTATTATAAAGCTGGTTTAAAATCATACTTTGTATTTAACTGTTTGCTTTTACTTTTCTTCCAAAGTTAAGATATGGAGAAACATTAGGATTTAGAAGCACTAATTTGGTATATACATTACAAATAATAGTTAGAAATATAATTTATTTAACTCTGTAATTACCTATATAGTAAAAAGAGCAATTATCATATTGATACTCAAATATCTGTCAGTTGTTTACTTGTAATTTGGAAATGGTATGTCTAATTTGAGAAATTACAAATTTAATTAAATAATGAAACCATATAATCAGGAAGAAACTAGAAAATACTTTTCCAACTTTATCCTGGTTTATTTTGAAATACGCACCTATAATCACTAATCTTATATGTATCTATCCTGTGACTGGAGGGCTGGAAATAACTGGGAATAAGACATCATTTGAGTGGTTAAGCTCAAAGTATAGGAAGTATGCAGGATAAAAATAAGCATTAGGTGATTCATAATTTATAACATGGGAAATAAGAATTATTAGGAGTTGAATGTAGAAGATGAATCTTGAAATAAAATTTTCATTTTATTTTGAATTAGATGATGAAACCATGATTATTCACAGTGCAGTAAGTGTGGATTATCTGATATTTTAATATTACAGTTTTGATAGTGCTCTTCAGTCTGTGAAATCTTCGGTGAGTGGAAATGATGAACTATCAGCTACTTTCTTAGAAATGAAAGGACATTTCTACATGCATGCTGGTTCTCTGCTTTTGAAGATGGGTCAGCATAGTGATATTCAATGGCGAGCTCTTTCTGAACTGGCTGCATTGTGCTATCTTATAGCATTTCAGGTAAGTCTTCTACTTGTAGGAGCAATTGACATTTTACTGAGTCTTGATGTGTTTTAAATATTGGTATGCTCTGGTATGTGATGACAATATGTGACTAAACCTGTGGAATTAAAGTTAAAATGAAATAGTCAGTTTGATAGAGTGGAAAATAAGTGTGCTTCATACTGGTGAGGCTGGTGAAACAGGATATTGGATGCATTGCTGTTGACAGTCTGCATTGCTATGATTTGTTTGGAGACAAATTTGAAGAGCTTGATCTTTTTACTCTGCCATTTTTGGGAACATATGATAAAGATGTAATCTCATATTATGGGTAAAGCTTAATTCAAAAAGATGTGTGACTTGGACAAAAACCTAATAAGTAGATGTAGCGCAGTGACTATAAGCTATGATAGAAGAATATGATTGCCCTTTAACATGTTAGTGGAAAAACATGTTTGTATTGTATATAATATATAACAGTGTATCTGTTAATCTTTGAAGACATAAAACCTTTTTTTATAGCTTTTTTTTAATGAGCTTGCATTACTTTCGAAAGGAAAAGAAATAAGCAGTCTCCCAAATATGCATTAAACCAGGCTTAGAAAAATGATTGCTAATTTTAGAGAAGGATTTTTTTGCTTGAGGGAGGGAAAAAAAGATTCATTACTTTTAGAGAAGGTCCCTTCCTTCTAATAGAAATCTTTTAAAAACACTGTTGATAGGCAGTTCACAATGTTAAGTGCTAATATTTGCTCAATAGAAACTTTTGTGTTCATAAGGAATGGATTGGTGAAAATTAATGGATTTACTCAGGTTCACTAGGTAATATAAACAGTAAAAGGTTCTTGTTACAGAAATTCTCAAGCAGCTAATAGTTCTTATTTTTAATGGAAGCTTTAAAATGTATCTGTCTGTGTTATCTATTAGAGTCTTGTTCTGTCACCCAGGCTGTAGTGCAGTGGTGTAATTGTAGCTCACTGTAATGTTGAACTGGGCTCAAGCTTCCCAGAGTGCTGGGATTATAGGTGTGAGCTACTGTGCCCAGCCTAAAATTTTTAATATGTAGTTTTGAGAGTCCTCACTCTTGTTGCCCAGGCTGGAGTGCAGTGGCATGATCATAACTCACTGCATCTTGAAACTCCTGGGTTCAGGTGAATCTCTCCTGCCTCATCCTCAGCTCAGTAGCTGGGACTACAGGTACCTGCCACCATGCCTGGCTGCGTTTTAAAATTTATGTAAAGACAAGGTCTTGGTATGTTTCCCAGGCTGGTTGGTCCTGGCTTCAAGCTGGTTGACCCTGGCTTGAAGTGATCCTTCTGCCTTGCCCCTCCCAAAATGCTGGGATTACAGGTATGAGCCACCACCCCTGGCTGTGAACTTTTTTAATAATAAAAAGTTAGTTTTCCTCTTAATCCATTCACTCAGGTCTCCTTTCCTAGATGACAGCTACTCTTAGGAGTTTCTTGGGTGTTCAAATATATTTTTTTGCATGTGCAAATGTCCAATACATTCTTTATCTACTTTTAAAAAATATTGTGCTTCATTGTGGGTGTGCTTTACCTATTGCCAGTTACTTAGCCCTTTTTTTTGTTTTGTTTTGAGATGGAGCCTTGCACTGTCACCCAGGCTGGAGTGCACTGGCGCTATCTTGGTTCATTGCAACCTCTGCCTCCTGGGTTCAAGCTATTCTCCTGCCTCAGCCTCCCAAATAGCTGGGTTTACAAATGCCCACCACCATGCCCAGCTATATTTTTGATTTTTAGTAGAGACAGGGTTTCACTATGTTGGCCAGGCTGGTCTCAAACTCCTGACCTTGTGATCAGCCTGCCTCAGCCTCCCAAAGTGCTAGGATTACAGGCGTGAGTCACTGTGCCCGGCTGAATATTTTTATTCTATGTAAGGAAATACCAAGAACCAAATCACCTGAAGATGCACTGGGCTACCCTGAAAAGTAATTAATGTCCATCACTGAAAATGTTCAGTCATAGGCAATGCCCACTTACTAGAAGCATCCAAAAGTAATTATTTGGGTGACTAGAGCAGTGGCTTTTAATTTCGTCACCACTTTCTTAATTGGTGATGGAAATGTAATTCAGTACAGCCTCTTTAGGGTTAGGTATTTGGCAACAGCTCTAAAAATTATAAATGAACAGATATACTTTGATACTGCCATTCTTTTAGGAATTCATGGCACAAGTTAATCATTGCTAAATTATTTGAAGTAGCATTAAAAAAAAAAAGCAAGCTAATGTACTGGTTTTAAAACCCTGGTTTAAAAAACCCCAAAACTACAGTACATACATACAATGCAAGCATCAAAAATAATGAGAATGCCCTTTATATATGCTGACATGGAAATATCTCCAAGATACAGTTAGTGGAAATAAAGTAAATACAGTATTCAGATGTTTTTCTCCTTTTTTAAAGGACAGGGGCGCTATATATGTGTTTACATGGAGATGCATAAGTATTTCCTGAAGACACAAGAAAGCACTAACATTAGTTTCTTTGGGGGTGGAGAAGTAAATAGTGACCAGAAAGGAGTCTTCATAGCATATTCTTAAGGGCCTCTAGAATTTTAAAACAAGAATATGATTCTTTCCAAACATGCTCATTTTTTAAAACGTATTCTTTATGAACCTGAAAGCTTCTGATTTTGGATTTCAGAAACATTCATATCACCTATCCTTTTACTCATAAGTTTTCTAAACACCATGTCAAACTTTGTCATCTATATGTTGAAAAGAGCACACAAAATAAGAAACAAAATGTTGACATAATTCTTTTTGTTTGCAAACTGACCTCAATTCATAAACCTGTCCTCTTTTACAGAATTATTCAATAGTTGAATTTGTGACCAGTTAATTAGTTGTGAATCCACTCAATTCAAATCATCTGAAGTCATTGTTTCCTCATCTTAACTAAAAGGTTTTAAGAGACTTTGTTAAATACCTAGCTGAAATGCAGATGTGCTTAATAGATCCACAGTATTCCTCTGATCCAGAGTCTGAAAATCTTACCATAAAATTTAGCCAATTCTTAAATACTCAATTGCCAGCACATAACCTAATTTTTATGCTTATAATCCTTCAGTCATTAAGCTTTAACATAAATTGATAATATAAAATACAAGCATCTAAGGCTCAAATATGTGGTAGTTAACAAAAGAAAGACTGAGGTAGGTATTTACATGCTGAAGTGAAACAATGAAGAAACATTTAAAAAAGCAAGGCGTCACCAGGCATGGTGGCTCACGCCTGTAATCCCAGCACTTTGGGAGGCCAAGGCAGGCGGGTCACGAGGTCAGGAGATAGAGACCATTCTGGCTGACACGGTGAAATCCTGTCTCCACTAAAAACACACAAAAAATTAGCCCAGTGTGGTGGCAGGCACCTGTAATCCCAGCTACTTGGGAGGGCTGCGTCAGGAGAATCGTTTGAACCCAGGAGGCAGAGGTTGCAGGGAGCTGAGATTGTGCCACTGCACTCCAGCCTTGGTGACAGAGCCAGACTCTGTCTCAAAAAAAAAAAATCTTCAAGCCTTCTACCTGTTGGTTTTTTTACTTTTTAAAAATTATTTCTTTTACAAAATAACTTTAATATTTGAGGCAACCGTCAATCTTCTTTTCGACATTCTATTCATCATGCTTTCAGCTTCCTTTTTTCCCATAAGTTATGGCATTAGGATCTCTTTAATCTCCTGGCTATCCAATTTATTCCAGTGCTTTCTCATATTGTGCATACTCTGAAAATGTGGCATTTCCAAATATTGTTTCACCTGTGCTGTTTAAAGTGGGGTTGTCATCTTAACTGAAATAGGACATCTGCTGTTGTCCTGTTTATGCAGGGCAGAAAAGTCATGTAATTTTTCCATTCCTCTGAATGTAACATGAATGTGCTTTTAGTAGGAACTAATTTCTCAGAAGTGCTCAATGCATTTTTTTTTTTTTTTTTTTTTTTGAGATAGGGTCTTGCTTTGCCACCCAGGTTGGAGCACAGTGGCATGATCATGGCTCATTGCAGCCTTGACCTCCTGGATTCAAGTGATCCTCCTGCCTTAGCCTCCTGAGTAGCTGAGATCACAGGTGTTTGCCACCACACCTGGCTAATTAAAAAAAATTTTTTTTTTAAGATAGGATCTCGCTGTGTTACCCAGGCTGGTCTCGAACTCTGGGCTCAGGTGATCCCCTCACCTTGGCCTCCCAACGTGCTGGGATTACAGGTATGAGCCACCACGTCCAGCCCATCTTTGTGGGGTTTTTTTTTCCCCTCTGACTTTCTTTTAACAGCATTTTTTTTTTTTTGAGATGGAGTCCCGGTTTTTCAGGCTGCTGTGCAGTGATGCAATCTCGGCTCACTACAATTGCTGCCTCCCAGGTTCAAGCTATTCTTATGCCTCAGCCTCCTGAGTAGGTGGAATTACAGGTGTATGCCACCACACTTGGGTTTTTTTTTGTTTGTTTGTTTTTTTGTATTTTTAGTTGAGACTGGGTTTCACCATGTTGGCCAGGCCTGTCTTGAACTCCTGACCTCAAGTGATCTGCCTGACTTGGCCTCCCAGAGTGTTGGGATTACAGATGTGATCCACTCCTGGCCTGGCCTATCTTTCATAGGTTATATAAATTCCTTGGTTCCCAGTTTTGGTAGTCTTTTCCAGTTCAGTTTAATTAATGGTTAAGTGTTAATTTATTATCAAAAAAAGTACAGTGTAATAGAAAAGACCGTCTTACTATTAGAAGGATGGGTATCATAAAATTAAGATATTTGATTCTAAAATTATTAGGTTCCAAGACCAAAGCTTAAATTAATAAAAGGAGAAGCTGGACAAAATCTGCTGGAAATGATGGCCTGTGACCGTCTGAGCCAATCAGGTAATGGTAATGTTAAACTAATTTAAAAAGAAAAAAGGTAAATTTCTGTTAAGGCATGTCTTATGATAAAATCTTCTGTCTGTCCAGGAGATAATTTATCAAAATCATTTCTTTTGCCATATCAGTTAAGAGCAATAGGTGTGGAAGAGATGAGAAGAAATAGTATATTCTTTAAAAGAAATGAATATTTTATATTGTTTGTTCCTAGGTGGAGAGGATTTCTTAAATCTTTCTTTATCTGGCTGCTACAGCCTCTATCCTGAATATTTCATCACTTTCTGAAGTATAATTATTGATTTGTCAACCGTTTAACACCAGCTGCTTCTAAAAGCACTGCTGTGGGAATATAAAGATGAAGATACGGATCTGTCTTAAAGAGCTGAGAGCTTAGTGAGGAAGATAGAAGATACATATTTACCTTGTATTAGGCTCTTGGAATTTGTAGTTTTTTTTCTCATTTTTGGCTGATTGGGATGAATCCTAAAGGTCCGTTACAAATTACCTGTGATTTGCTAAGATACGAGCTTTAAGGTAGTCGGGTAGCCAGTGAATCAAGCACTGAACTGAAGAAACATAATGTTTTGATATAAAATTGGACGAATTTTGTAAAGAGCAAGATGTAGTATTAAATCAAAGTTATTATAAGCCTTGGTGTATGGTTAGGCTGTTGGCCAAAGCTCACATTGCTCTTTTATTCCATAGCCCACTTTTTTTGGTGGGAGTTAGACTTTCAGTCCTTAAAGTGTCTTTCTACTTTTTTCCTTTTCTGTTTTCCTTCTACCCTTGCGGGGCTCTCTTAGTGCCTTTGCAGGATGTCACAGTTAGATAAAAATCCCTGGCCAGGCGCAGTAACTCACGCCTGTAATCCCAGCACTTTGGGAGACTGAGGCAGGAGGATCACAAGGTCGGGAATTTGAGACCAGCCTGATCAACATGGTGAATCCCCGTCTCTACTACAAATACAAGGATGAGCTGGGCGTGGTGACGTGTGCCTGTAATCCCAGCTACTTGGAGACTGAAGCAGGAGAATCACTTGAACCTGGGAGGCGGAGGTTGTGCTACTACACTCCAGCCTTGGTCACAGAACGAGACTCCATCTCAAAAAAAAAAAATCGCCTATATTTTTTTATGTCTGATGTGGGCATCCCGAGGGTGCCCTCTGTGAGCATGCTGACACAACTGTGTAGTGGTAACCAAACCTGATTGATTGGCCAGCAGAATTAACTCCAAGGAGGGTGTTTAAAAAACGGTTTAATTGAAATATTCTGATATCGTACGTTTTACCCATTTAAAGTGTACAATTCAGTGGCTTTTAGTGTGTTCAAAGAGTAGTACAGTTGTTAACCACAATCAGTTTTAGAACATTTTCATCACTCCATGAGGAATTCCTTACCCATTAGCAGTCAGCCCACATTTTACCCAAACCTCTCAGCCTTGGCAACTACTAATCTGTCTCTGTCTCTGTTTGCCTATTCTGAACATTTCACATAAATGGAATCATACAGTATGTGATCTCTTGTGACTGGCTTCTTTCATTTAGCAAGGTTTTTAAGGTTCATCTGTGTTGTAGCATATGTCAGTACTTTATCCTAGGACAGTGATTTTTAGATTACTTACTGCGAGCCTGTGGAATAAAAATCTCTGGAAGCGGAACCTGGAAATAATTCTTAAAAGCTGTTTAAAGAAGGATTGTGATCAGCTAGGTTTAGAAATCAGTATATCAGAACGGAGAGTAAGAGCTTGTTGTCGCTGCTTTCCTATGGCCACTTAAATCCAAACCTTTTCATCTAAAATGCAAATATGTTTGGCATTTTTCATACATGTTTCTGTCTTTTTTTCTCCCTTCTGCTGTCTTATGTAGATACGGATAATATTAAACCTGTACTCTATTTATTTTCTTTATAAGCACCCTTTTTGTTGTCCATCTGTATTTTTTGGGTTGGAGGTTTAGGTCTGCGATAATCATGTTATTTTCCCTTTGGGTATACAAATAGTGTGGGCCAATACAATCTGTATTTTTAAAGTGATGGAAATAATTTGTTTTTCAGGGCACATGTTGCTAAACTTAAGTCGTGGCAAGCAAGATTTTTTAAAAGAGGTTGTCGAATCTTTTGCCAATAAAAGCGGGCAATCTGCTTTATACGATGCTCTGTTTTCTAGTCAGTCACCTAAGGATAGATCTTTTCTTGGTAGTGATGATATTGGAAACATTGATGTACAAGAACCAGAGCTTGAAGATTTGGCTAGATACGATGTTGGTAAGTTACATGTTTCAAAGGAAACTCTACATCTTAATCCTTATAAGTTTTCCATAATCTTATTACCTAGAAATAATGACTTAATATTTTCCTGTATTCCTTTTGTGTGTGGGTTGGGTGGCAGGAGGCGGGGTTCAAATTTGATGCTGTGGAGGTGGCATGTATTTTTTTTTTTTTTTTTTGAGACCAAGTTTTTCTGTTGTTGCCCTGGCTGGAGTGCAGTGGTGCGATCTGGTCTCACTGCAGCCTCTGCCTCCTGGGTTCAAGTGATTCTCCTGCCTCCGTCTCCTGAGTAGCTGAGATTACAGGAGTCCGCCGCCATGGCTGGCTAATTTTTTGTATTTTTAGTAGAGATGGGGTTTCGCCATGTTGGGCAGGCTGGTGTCAAACTCCTGATCCCAGGTGATCCCTGCTTCCTGAAGTGCTGGGATTATAGCTGTGAGCCACCACGACTGGCCTTGTTGTTTTCTGAGACAGGGTCTCACTTTGTCACCCGGGCTGGAGTGTATGGCATGATTGGATCGTAGGTCACTGCTACCTTAAACTTCTAGGCTCAAGGGATTCTTTTGCCTCAGCCTCCTGAGTAACTGGGACCACACACACATGCCACTCTGCCCGGATAAGTTTTTTTTAATTGGTAGAGACCAGGTCTCACTTTGTTGTCCAGGCTAGTCTTGAACTCCTGGGCTCAAGGGATCCTCCCGCTTCAGCCTCCCAAAGCGTTGGGATTAGGGCCAACATGGGGGCTCACACCTATAATCCCAGCACTTTGGGAGGCTGAGGCGGGTGGATCACCTGAGGCCAGGAGTTTGAGACCAGCCTGGCCAACATAGCAAAACCCTGTCTCTACTAAAAATACAAGAATTAGCCGGGCGTGGTGGCATGTGCCTATAGTCTCAGCTACTCAGGAGGCTGAGGCAGGATATTCACCTGAACCCAAGAGGTGGAAGTTGTTGCAGTGAGCCAAGGTAGGGCCCCTGCACTCTAGTCTGAGCAACAGAGTGACTCTGTCTCAAAAAAAGAAAATGTTGGAATTATAGGCATGAGCCATGGCATCTGGCTGTATTTTCCATCTAAATAGTTGTTTATACTATATGCATGATTTATCTTGCTTCTTTCAGGAATTATCTCCCATAGTCTCTGTATTAAAACTATGAATACCACTTTTAATGGCAATGTAATCTTTTTTATGAAGTAGTCGTAATTTGCTTGCTACTTTCTGTTACTGGGCATCCAAGTTGTTTTCAGCTTTTCCACTATTAATAAACATACTCTGAGAAAAACCACAAAGTATCTCCATTGCAAGCTATTTCCATAGAGATACCTAAAAACAATTACTGAGACAAAGGGCGTGAACACCTTTAAGTCTTGCAAATTGCCAAAATGACAGAAAGATTGTACCTCTTTATACTTCCAGAAGTGTGTAACCTTTTCAATATTGACTTTCTTGTAGAAAAACAGATTTCTTTACTATACTGATGGATTAATATAGTGGTGTTTCATTGCTTTAATGACTTAAAAGAAACCTCATTGTTTTGGTTTAAGTGTTCTTTATTTGACTTTTGTCAGTTGATTTTGGTTTATTATATTCCAATGAGTGTCATTTTTTTAGATGGACTTAAAAATTCTTTATCACAACTATGTTTATTAAAATTTATAGAAGTAATCAAGTGAGAATGCATCTAATAAGGTGAGATTTTACCTAACAGAATTTTTTCCAGCTTTGATACAGAAAAGCAGTTATAATTAAGATATACGTAATGTGAGTTTGTTTATTTTAGCAAAACTAATGCTACGAAGAAAATTTTCAAAACCTTAAGCCAATTTTTAAATTTCATTTCAGGTGCTATTCGAGCACATAATGGTAGTCTTCAGCACCTTACTTGGCTTGGCTTACAGTGGAATTCGTTGCCTACCTTACCCGCAATCCGAAAATGGCTAAAACAGCTTTTTCATCATTTGCCCCAGGAAACCTCAAGGCTTGAAACGAATGCACCTGAATCAATATGTGTTTTAGATCTTGAAGTAAGCAATGATTTTAACAAATTAAATATTCTGAGTTTTGTTTTATTTTTTTTCTAACTTTACTTTTCCTTAAATAAAACAGGTATTTCTACTTGGAGTAGTATTTACCAGCCACTTACAATTAAAGGAGAAATGTAATTCTCACCACAGCTCCTATCAGCCATTATGCCTGCCCCTTCCTGTGTGTAAACAGCTTTGCACAGAAAGACAAAAGTCTTGGTGGGATGCGGTTTGTACTCTGATTCACAGAAAAGCAGTGTAAGTAGTAAAAGAAAAATATTGCTTTAACTTAGTGCCTAGATTTAATCCTCAAGTGAAGATTTAATTTGTTATGTCACCATTAACATATATGTAAGTGCTGAACTGTGTATTTATGAAGTAGTTTTAGTAAATTAAACTTTTTTTTTAGACCTGGAAACTCGGCAAAATTACGACTTCTAGTTCAACATGAAATAAACACTCTAAGAGCCCAGGAAAAACATGGCCTTCAACCCGCGCTACTTGTACATTGGGCAAAATGGCTTCAGAAAACGGTGAGTTTTAAAGTATCAGCATTTTTAAAGAACATTACCTTAATTTTTAAAAATCATGAACTTTTTATTGAAAGTTGTTCTGAAAACAGCAGCTTGTTCATATTATGACAGATGAAAATGTTTTTAGTTGCTATAAAATAGTTAATGTAGTTAAATATAAGCACTTAAAAGAGCAATAATGCCTGGCACACAGTGAATGTTATGTATTAGCTGAGCTGTTATAGTTATTCCTTAATAATTAAGTTATGATAATTATTCAACCTGAAAATTTAAAAAACTAGCACAAGACTTTGGAGGTAAGAGCATTATAGATCTTTCTAAATATTTAAGGTGTGTTCTGTGTCAGGATTATGTATAGATGGTCAGCCTTTTAAACAAACTGACACTACAGAAGAGGTAGGTTTCAGCTATCTAAAAATGGCAACTGTCAAAAAGTAGGTTGGATTGCTTCATTAGGGTAGTATCATTAGAAGTGTTTTAAAGTTGAATGTAGAATGATCGCCTGTATTAGGGTGGGTTAGTTATTACAATATTTGGAAGTTGAATAAATGACTATTGAGGTTTCATTTGGTTTTGACTTGAAATTTTAGCCTGTTCTTACAACTTGTAAATGAACTTTAGATCTAATTATATGTGCTCCTTAAAGTTGTATGCTTCTAACTCTTTTTTTAGGGCAGTGGTCTTAATTCCTTTTATGATCAACGAGAATACATAGGGAGAAGTGTTCATTACTGGAAGAAAGTTTTGCCACTGTTGAAGATAATCAAAAAGAAGAGCAGTATTCCTGAACCTATTGATCCTCTGTTTAAACATTTTCATAGTGTAGACATACAGGTAACAGAGTTTCTTTGTGAATTTACTGGAGATGGGGCTTTCCAGTTTATAAACAAAGACATGGAGCTATAAGCTGCTTAAATTAATTGCCTTGTTATTTAATGATAATCTTGTTTTCTAAATTCACTAGCTATCACAAATAAGATATGATGGAAGAGTAATGAGATGCTTATCTCTTAAGATCATAGGGCTGGGTGTGGTGGCTCACGCCTGTAATCCAAGCACTTTGGAGGCCAAGGCGGGCGGATCACCCCGAGGTCAGGAGTTCAAGACCAGCCTGATGAACATGGTGAAACCCCATCTTTTAAAATAAAAAATATATGTATTAAAATTTAAAAAGATCATATGAAATGTTTGGAAAATCATTTGGGTTTTATATTCTGAATAGAAACAATTTGACTAAACACTATTTTTTGTGTTTAGGCGTCTGAAGTTGGTGAATATGAAGAAGACGCACACGTAACTTTTGCTATATTGGATGCAGTAAATGGAAATATAGAAGATGCTATGACTGCCTTTGAATCTATAAAAAGTGTTGTTTCTTATTGGAATCTTGCACTGGTAAGTAGATGTGGTACTTGAGCTAAAAGTTTTATTATTATTATTTTTAAGACAGGATCGCTTTGTTGGCCCGGCTAGAGTGCAGTGGCATAATCTTGGCTCACTGCAACCTCTGCTTCCCAGGCTCAAGCGATTCCTGTGCCCCAATCTCCCAAGTAGCTGGGACTATAGATGTGCACCACCATGCCAAGCCAAGTTTTGTATTTTTAGTGGAGATGTGGTTTCACCATGTTGGCCAGGCTGGTCTTGAACTCCTGGCCTCAAGTGATCTGCCTGCCTTGGCCTCCCAAAGTGCTGGGATTACAGGCATGAACCACCATGTATGGCCAAGCTAAAAGTTTTTTGTTTTGAAAACCTAATTATTTCATAAAAGCACTGTTCGTATAGATTTTTCACAGGAAGGCAGAAGACATTGAAAATGATGCCCTTTCTCCTGAAGAGCAAGAAGAATGCAAAAATTATCTGAGGAAGACCAGGGACTACTTAATAAAGATTTTAGATGACAGTGATTCAAATATTTCAGTGGTCAAGAAAGTAAGTAGCAGGTTGTTGCATGTACTTTCTTACTGATAACCCACTGATCAATGTTTTTGTGTTGGTCTTATATTTTGGTAATTAAAGTATTCAGTAATAAATATGTCATTACTAATGCATAGAAGGGATGTATTATCTAAATGCTTATATTTGCTTGCTTTGTCTTAGGTTTAATGTGTCTTTTTAAACTTAGGAATCTAGTTGTATGCTCTTAAAAGTACTTCTTGGGGAATTAAAAAACATTTGTAAGAAAAGACATTGATTTTGTTGTCTTGGCAATGTAATCAAAACAAATATTGTAACCTCAGGACTAGTTCTCAACTTTGCTGAAATTGGAAGTTGTTGCTGACAACTTCAGAGCATTTCTTCTCATCCTCATCAGCTATTATGAACTCTCTCTTTTTCTCACTGTCAGCCATTTGAGATTGTCATGATGATGTTAAATTTGATTAATTTGCATTACTACTCTTTTATTAGGATTTATGTCGTCTGTTATATGTAGCATCTGTAGTTCTGTCTCCATTCAAAATCAGTTAGAAAACATCAGTAACTTACTTTGTTCACTTGGAAAAACTTTCCAAGTTAACATTCCTCTACCGTTATCATGGCTAACAGAAATTAAGAGCATGGGCTTTGGAATCAGAAGATGTTAGATTGTACAACACTTTTCTGTGTTCATGAAGGAAAAATAAACTCTAGAATAAAGATGAAATAGAAAAAGAAAAAAGGTAAATAATAAAACCACTTTCACGTGTATTGTTATTTAAAGTATAAAGTGCTTGTTAAAGTGACAAAAATGTACATAAGATAAAATACATCATTTTAGAGTTTTACTTTTGGAATTTTTTGCAAATGAAAGCCCTTAATTAATGTCTTTTATTTTTAGTTGCCTGTGCCCCTGGAGTCAGTAAAAGAAATGCTTAATTCAGTCATGCAGGAACTCGAAGACTATAGTGACGGAGGTCCTCTTTATAAAAATGGTTCTCTGCGAAATGCAGATTTAGAAATAAAACATTCTACACCGTCTCCTACCAAATACTCACTATCACCAAGTAAAAGTTACAAGGTAAACAGGAAAGAAGTGAACCATTCCATTGTGAAATGTTTCTGTTCTAAGTCTTTTAAATACTGTTTTGTTATTTTAATTTTTTTAGTATTCTCCCAAAACACCACCTCGATGGGCAGAAGATCAGAATTCGTTACTGAAAATGATTTGCCAGCAAGTAGAGGCCATTAAGGTAAGTCACTTAATTTTTCTAGCTCTACTTTTTATTCTGAGATTCCTTTGACCATTCCCTTGCATTTTTTCTGAATCTGGTCAAAAAATGTCCCCTTGCCATCCAAATAGTACCAAAATTAACATTGATTTAATTAATTGACAGCTCAAGAGAGACTGACTCCCAGCTCAGCCTCCCAGGAAGCCAGGACTACAGATAGTCACGTGACACTATGCCCAGCTAATTTTTGTATTTTTTGTAGAGGTGGGATTTTGCATGTTGCCCAGGCTGGGCTCAAGCAATCCTCCTGCCTCAGCTTCAAAGTCCTAGGATTGCAGGTGTGAGCCACTGTGCCCAGACTGCATACCTCTGTATTGACCCTTTACCACATTTTGTTTTGTTTTTGTTTTGTTTGAGATAGAGTCTCACTCTTGCCTAGGCTAGAGTGTAATGGCATTATCTCAGCTCACTGCAACCTCTGCCTCCCAGGATCAAGCGATTCTCCTGCTTCACCCTCCCGAGTAACTGGGATTACAGGCACCCACCACCATGCCCAGCTAATTTTTATGTTTTTAGTAGAGACAGTGTTTCACCATGTTGACCAGGCTGGTTTTTAACTCCTGACCTCAGGTCATCTGCCTACCTTGGCCTCCCAAAGTGCTGGGATTACAGGCATGAGCCACCGTGCTCAGCCCTTTACCATATTTTTGAAAGTACTTTATGTGTCTCTCTCCTCATCTTCCACCAAATTTGAGACCTTCAAAGGTGGAGATTGTTTTATTTAAAATATAAGAGTTTCTGGCGCAAAGAAGTTTCCAGAGTGATTGAACTACTACAATGTACTAATCATACTCTGGTCTATGAGTTCATTTCAAGATTAGCTGTGGATTAGATGTGTTTCAAATTTAGAGCTAGGAATTGAAAAGTGGTCTGAGCTTCAGAAAGTTTTCTTATATTTTAACTTCCATATGAATTTGACTTTTAATTATATAAGGAAATAGTTATGTATATGTATCTTATTTTAGCAATAGCGTTCAAAGGAGCTTGAATTTTTTGGAATTGGAAATAAAAGGTTGTTTCATGCTTATCAGGCAAGAATTAAATTACTCATACTTCTAAAGTTACACCAAGGGTATTCTGATAACGTGATTATTAGAGTGTGATCAGTAGTATTTGCAACTTAGAGAATACTGTTTGGTGGGAAAATATTTTTGAATTTGTACAAAAATTTTGACTTAACATATAGGTTTCTGGCACCTAGCATTGTAGTCTGTGGAAGTATAGTAGAGCACTAGTCCATGAACTTGAAAAACTTGATGCTAGTACTCACTCTGCCGTTAATTAATGATCTTGGGCCAGTCACTTGCTTTGTGACTGTTTAGCTTCTCATCTGTAAAGTGAGAGAATTATTGAAGCCACTTCTCATCACACTGACTTTTGCAGCAGTGATTGCAGATTCAAAGCTCTGGTGCTGATACCTACAGTGACCGTAAAGTTTTCCAGGTGATTTCACTAGTTTCTTATTTCTTGGATGTGTGGCATCTGGACTAGGCACTGTAGATGGATGGGTGAGGGAAATTTAATTTAACTTCAAAATTGAGGTAGTTTTGGACCTCATAGTTAGGTACTTTCTGGGAAGTTTTATTTGAAACACTTGTAGAAAAACAAAGCAGGCATGCCAAATCTGTTGTTCTCACTTGTTACAACTGTTCGGATACCTGGGCTGATACAGAGAAGTTTGAAACTTTAGAAATTTACCTGTTGTCTGATACAACTATAGTTTCTTTGGAAAAAGAATTTCCTATTGAATGTCTGTTTTGTAAGGGGACATCATTTTGTAGGTTCTAGGGTTGGGTATGGTGCTGTCATTTAGTTTTCTTAGTAAAGATCAGGTAGCCACTAGCTACACTAGATGGCAGTGTATGCATCTGCCATCCTGTCAAGGCAGCAGAGATGTGTTAAGAAAACATTTTTGGAGTCAGATCTGGTTCAAATTCCAGCTGTTATTCCCTGCGTCCCTTTCTCTCATTTTAAGATAGGAGCTAATATTGTTTACCTAACAGTGTAAACAGTATAGAAATTAAGTGTTTAAGTGCATTGGACATATTATTATATACATAATAAATTCTTTGCAGCTACTACTTTTTTTCCTTTCTTGGTGAAGCATTTGAATGTTACCTTGAGAATTAGTAGTGTTTTATTTCAGCATGGGGGTAAATGGAAAGCTAGTTTGGGCAGGGGTGATTTGGAATGTCAGGTAGTCCAGATGGGTGGAAAAGTAGAGCAGTATAGAAAGAACACACTGAAAGGATGGTCAGTATAATACTAGAGGACTGTGAAAGTTGGAGAAAGAAGTTTAATTTGTAAGTACTTGTTTTTTTTTGAACAGGGAATTGTATTGGCTGGAGCTGAACATCAGAAAGATTAATGTAGGCAAGTGTGTAGAATGGAAATGAAGGTGTGATCATTTAGGAAGTTACTTGTTTAGGTGAGAGAGTGAATGAATTAGGTAGGTGGTAGTAAGGAATGAAAATGTTAGGTAGGTGGTAGTAAGGAATGAAAAAATTAGGTAGGTGGTAGGAAGGAATGAAAATTTAGCAGATAAATTTTTGTCAAATTAAGACTCATATTTTAAAATGAGCATCTGGTACCTAGAACTCATTGGAAAATAGAATTTTTCCAAAGATAATAATCAGGGCCGGGCACAGTGCTCACGCCTATAATCCCTGCACTTTGAGAGGCTGAGGTGGGCGAATCACTTGAGGTCAGGAGTTCAAGGGTAGCCTGGTGAACATGGTGAAACCCCATCTCTAATTAAAACACAAAAAATCAGCCAGTGTGGTGGTGAGTGCCTATAATCCCAGCTACTCAGGAGACTGAGGCAGGAGAATTGCTTGAACCCAGGAGGCAAGGTTGCAGTGAGCCGAGATCATGCCATTGCATTCTGGCGTGGGCAACAGAGCAAGACTCTTCTCAAAAGAAGAAAAAAAAAGATATATAATCAGTTATTTAAATTTAAAAGAGTAAGTTTGCCCTAGCACTGTTTCTGGCATGATATAATTAAATGTTTAAAACTATTTGATTTTTTTTCTTCCAATAGAAAGAAATGCAGGAGTTGAAACTACATAGCAGTAACTCAGCATCCCCTCATCGTTGGCCCACAGATAATTACGGACCAGACTCAGTGCCTGATGGATATCAGGGGTCACAGACATTTCATGGGGCTCCACTAACAGGTGAGCTGGAAGTGGATAATCGCAGATTTTAGTAAAACTATTTTACTTTCCTCTTTTAAGTAGATAACTTGTGAAATCACCTTGTTTATATATGTTTGTTAATATACATATCAATGTCTGTTTGTACGTTACTTAAAAAGCTGTATTTAGTGTTACTGAGATTTTTATAACCCTGAGCAGAAACAAAATGAGCTGTACATAAAGGCTTAAAGAACCTTTAATCCACACCTCAGATAACCTGTTTGAGATAAAATTATTCCTTAAATTGAAAAATGTAATGAATAGAGTTATGTAGTAAGTGATGCCTAAATTAAGTACCTACACCTCTGGGGAATTATTTTGATGATAATGCTGAGAGGCAGGACATTCTATAGGAAATCTTATTACATAGGAAATCTTATTTAATTTGAAATATTATGGCTATATAAAGAAAGAAAGGGAGTTTAGACTTGAATCATACTGGGTTTTTAAGTTGTGCTCTGTCACTTAATATAATAGCTGCATAAATTATTAACCTGTCTGAAATGTGGAAATAATACTTGCCTCACATAATTACTATGAGCAATTGTGTGTGTGCAGGTGGGCGTGGGTATGTATTAGACATTCATTAGAGTATACAGTAAACAGTTAATGAACTAAGTTACTAGTGTTTACTGTGGGGTGGCTGTGTGCAAAACTGTTTTGTGAATTTAATTTTGCTCAATTACAGTAACTTAGAATGGTATGTATATATCCTTTTTTATAAATGAGGAAATGGGTAAAGAAAGGTTAGGTAACTTATTATTATACAACTAGTTATTTCTAGAACTGAGATTGAAACTCCAGTGGTGTAACTCCAAAGCACTTGCTAGTATAATACATTGTTCCCAGGCAGCCAGAAATAACAAAATTGTTTATTTTACATAAGACAGACTCCTGAAATGGTAGTAGAGCACATTTTTCTTCTAATTCCTTTTAGCCCAGGAAAGATTTAGAATAAAATCTAGTTTAGATGAGCGCATTTGGGTGATGGCTTATGAAACCATAGTTAAGGCAATCCCACTAGCGTTTTGTGACAATATCTTCTCAACAGGTAAAATAACAGAAAATCTTTGTGAAGTCAAGCTCGTTAAATGTCGTAAGTCAGAGATAAGTATATGAAATGTCTAACATTCAAACTTTGTTTACTTAAAAACTTAGCAACACATAGGTCCTTGTAAGAGGATAAAAAAAACTGCTAGCCTTTTCTAGGGCTTTTTCAGTGCTGTGTACAGTCATTTGGTGCCTTTTGGGTCATGATTTCCATTTCTTCTGTGTACAGGCATAAAGGTCTTCTGGTCTTATGTAAGCATATAAAGACAACATTCTCATTGTCTCATTTTATTCTTGCAGTGACCCTATGAAATGTGTAGAAGCAGCACATCCTCATTTTACAATTGAGAAAAATGGAGACTCCAAATGGGTTATTCATAGGGTTATAAAATAGCTCTGTAACTCTGAAAGGGAGAGAGCCCAGGTCTCCTGTTTTCTGTTCCTATGTTCATAGATGGTTTTTTTTTCCCTTAATAAAAGTAAACATCTATCAAGGTGGTCCTTGTTTTTTTAAAGTAAGATGATTAAAATTAAAGATTAATGAGCTCATTGGAGATCCTCAGAAGTACTGAACAGGGTGAAGAAAACGAAAAACTAACCACCTTATTAACATTTCTTATATTTGAGAGCATTTCCTTCAGGTTCTTTCTCTTTGTATACCTGTAGTATTTTGTATGAGATTGTTACCATGTTATGATGTTGTGTGTAGATGAGCCAGCCTGTCTTTTTCAATGTTAATTTAGTTCCCAGCATTTTTTAATTTGTGTTTTTGAATATTAATGAGTTCATGGTATCCCATCACATGGAAGTATTGTAAATTCTCTTTCTTTATTTATGTTGTTTCTGGTTTATGCCATTAAAAATTCTAGGACACTGTCCTAGTTTCGTAGGGTATTTTGAAAATTCAGTTTATGCTCTTATCACTAGTATCTGATAGTGCCATCTTTTCACTTTTGCTAGTGCTGATAAAGAAACAGAATTTACAATACTTCCATGTCATGGGATACCATGAACTCATTAACAGTTAATCCTTTACCAATTTTTAGGAACAAAAGTGATATAATTTTTAAGCTTTTTAATACTACTCATGCTCAACAGCTCATGCAAATGGCTGTTAGTAGTTTTACCATCAACATGGGTGCCTTCTAGATATTTGGTTTCTTGATAAAACTCACAAAATAGATAGGGAAGAGTTTGTTTTGTTGATGTGATTTTTTTTTTTTAAGCCAGTGAACACAGTTGTGTTCTCTCTGAGATCCTTTGCATGAATTTATCAGGTGATTTTTTTTGACCTGAACATTCTCATAATAGCTTGAGTTTGCCCAATGCAACCTTATCATTTTGCAGATTTTCAAGGCTCGCTTCAAAAACATGGCCCTTGAGGCCTATTACATTTCTTTCCTAAATTGTCTATTATGTAGTGTTATTAAAAATTAGATTACTTTTAGTAGATTTATTAGAGCTCTTTATAGACTTTTTCCTCCCACAGTTTAGAATCAGTAGTCAATTAAAGTCTCTACTTAAAGTTTAGACTTTAAGTTCCTTTTTTTTAAATTTAAAATTTTATTTTAAAATTTTTTCCTTTTGCTTTTATGCACACAGATATCTTGCAAGATCTTAAGATTCTTGGGTTATTTCTGTCAGTTTGTTCTGTGTTCTGTGCCTGCTTCCTGCCCATATTAATTTCAAAATAGCTATCCTCACCTCTGTTATGTCTCCAAAATCAAACTTGGGCTCTGGCTAGCCTTTTTTAGGTCTAGCCAGATTTTTTCGGTGTTTTCCAGAGGCAATTTTTTGGAACCTCTTGTCACAATTTCTGTTTCTTCTTCCATGTACAGGCATAAAGGTCTTTTGGTTGCTTTCTGTTAAAACTATCATAAAACAGTTCAAGCAAATGGCGGTTGGTAGTTTTGCTGTTAACATGGGTGCCTACTAGTTGTTTGGTTTCCTGGCAAAACACACAAAACAGATGGAGCAGATAGTTTGCACATCAGCATGAATGTTGATGTGCTTTTTATTTTAAGCCAAGGAACACATTTGGTGTTATTTGTGAGATTCTTTCCATGAATTTGTCAGGCGATTTTTGATCTGAACATTCCTAGTAAAGCTTTAGTTTACAAAATGCAATCCAGTCATGCTGCGGATTTTCTAGGCCCACTTCAAATGCATTGACTATCAGATGGCATCTTGGTTTCTTGCGTCCTTTCTATGACTGAATTTTCATAATTCCACATCATACTGATCTTTTGTAGAAAAGGCACCAACTACTTTCTTCTTTGTTGCTTGTGAAGGCAGTTCTTGTTGATCACAGTGATGCTATTCTTTTATTCTTCATGACATATTTAGCAATTTTTTCTAGTTTGTCATTTGATAATCTACTTTATTGATGTATTTTGATGTACTGAAATATAAAATTTATGTAGTCAAATATTTCTTTAATTTCTATTGTTTTTGTATTTATAGTTCTTGCCTAGATAGTCTTAACTGTAGTATAGACTTTAACAGTGTTTTCTTTATTTTCTTTTTTTTTTTTAGTTGCAACTACTGGCCCTTCTGTATATTATAGTCAGTCACCAGCATATAATTCTCAGTATCTTCTCAGACCAGCAGCTAATGTTACTCCTACAAAGGTAACAAAGGAATAATTTATACATTTATAAGCATCTCCTTTTTAAATTGTTTAGGCTTCCTTCAAAGAAATTTGAGAGAGTAGTTCAGTATTAAAACTTTTATGTCCCTTAAGATGTAGATATTTTAAATTTATCTCCAGATACAGAAATTATACTTCTTAGTCACCTTATTTTTGTGTTAAAATAAGTGTGAATATTTAGACTATTTTAAAAATGGGAGTGGTGGTGCTGGTGGTGGTGGATCCTTCATCATTCTGTTTTAACAGAAATAGAACTGTAATACCCTTGCTATCCCAATATGTGATAAGTACTTTCAGGCCTTATACAGCTATATATATAACAATTGATTGAAGACTCAGTATTACAGTGGTAGTTGAATGTGGCAACTTTGAGGACAGGGAGTTGGAGTGTATTTAGACCCTTGCTCTTCTGCTTATTTTGACCACAAGCAAGTTTCTTCACCTCTCAATGCATCAGTTGCCTCATATGTAAAATGAGGATAATAGTAGTACCTTTAATTCATAGGGTTTTTGAGGATATTAAAATGAGATAATATATGTTAAGTGCTTAGAACAGTGCCCAGCTGGCACATTAATAAATGCTCAATAAATGTTAATCATCATCTGCATCATCATCATCATTATTGTTAGCATCATTTGATTGTTTAGGAATGAAGAAGGTATTTATTTTGTGACTTTAGTTATATATTTTAAGATAGTGTAATTTTTGGCATACGCCAAGTATATATGCAAGTATCTTTGTAGTAATGTGGCTTTCTCTTAACCCACGTATACCTAGTGTTCCGTTATTGGAATGCTAAGCTTGCGGGGGTTATTTATATTCTACTGCTCAAGGTCATTGCCAAGGTCTGATTTTTTCACACAAAAAATTTGCAACCAATGCCATAAATGGGTTAATGATATACTGCATACCCTAATGATATCTTCTTCACTTAATATTTATGTTTGAAGTTTGTGAAAATTGGTTCGTATTTGGTTATCTGTAGTTTTATAGACCATCTACAAAATGTTTTAACTTTCTGTCTTTTAGGGTCCAGTCTATGGCATGAATAGGCTTCCACCCCAACAGCATATTTATGCGTATTCGCAACAGATGCACACACCACCAGTGCAAAGCTCATCTGCTTGTATGTTCTCTCAGGAGATGTATGGTCCTCCTGCATTGCGTTTTGAGTCTCCTGCAACAGGAATTCTGTCGCCCAGGAGTGATGATTACTTTAATTACAATGTTCAACAGACAAGCACAAATCCACCTTTGCCAGAACCAGGATATTTCACAAAACCTCCAGTTGCAGCTCATGCTTCAAGATCTGCAGAATCTAAGGTTATAGAATTTGGGAAAACTAATTTTGTTCAGCCCATGCCGGGTGAAGGAATAAGGCCATCTTTGACAACACCAGCACATGCAACACAGCCAACTCCTTTTAAATTTAACTCAAATTTCAAATCAAATGATGGTGACTTCACGTTTTCCTCACCACAGGTTGTGACACAGCCTCCTCCTGCAGCTTATAGTAACAGTGAAAGCCTTTTGGGTCTCCTCACTTCAGATAAACCTTTGCAAGGAGATGGCTATAGTGGACCCAAACCAATTCCTGGTGGTCAAACCACTGGACCTCGAAATACATTCAATTTTGGAAGCAAAAATAAGTCTGGAATTTCATTTACAGAAAACATGGGGCCAAATCAGCAAAAGAATTCTGTTTTTCGGCGAAGTGATGATATGTTTACTTTTCATGGTCCGGGGAAATCAGTATTTGGAACACCCACTGCAGAGATAGCAAACAAGAATCATGAGGCAGATGGAGGAAGTGCCCATGGGGATGATGATGATGACGGTCCTCACTTTGAGCCTGTAGTACCTCTTCCTGATAAGATAGAAGTAAAAACTGGTGAGGAAGATGAAGAAGAATTCTTTTGCAACCGTGCGAAATTGTTCCGTTTTGATGGAGAATCCAAAGAATGGAAGGAACGTGGGATTGGCAATGTGAAAATACTGAGGCATAAAACATCTGGTAAAATTCGCCTTCTGATGAGACGAGAGCAAGTATTGAAAATCTGTGCAAACCATTACATCAGTCCAGATATGAAGTTGACACCAAATGCTGCATCAGACAGATCTTTTGTATGGCATGCCCTTGATTATGCAGATGAGTTGCCAAAACCAGAACAACTTGCTATTAGGTTTAAAACTCTTGAGGAAGCAGCACTTTTTAAGTGCAAGTTCGAAGAAGCCCAAAGCATTTTGAAAGCCTCAGGAACAAATGTAACCACAGCACCAAATCAGGCTATCAGAATTGTAAAAGAACCCACAAGTTATGATACTAAGGATATTTGCAAATCTGATGCTGGAAACATGAATTTTGAATTTCAAGTTGCAAAGAAAGAGGGGTCTTGGTGGCATTGTAACAGCTGCTCATTAAAGAATGCTGCAACTGCAAAGAAATGTGTATCATGCCAAAATCTAAACCCAAGCAATAAAGAGCTCCTTGGTCCACCATTAGGTGAAACTGTTTTTACTCCTAAAACCGGCCCAGAGAATGTTCAAGATCGATTTGCATTGATTACTTCAAAGAAAGAAAGTCACTGGGATTGTAGTATTTGTTTAGTAAGAAATGAACCCACTGTATCTAGGTGCATTGCATGTCAGAATACAAAATCTGCTAACAAAAGTGGATCTTCATTTGTTCATCAAGCTTCCTTTAAATTTGGCCAGGGAGAGCTTCCTAAGCCTGTTAACAGTGATTTCAGATCTGTTTTTTCTACAAAGGAAGGACAGTGGAATTGCAGTGTATGTTTGGTACAAAATGAGGGGAGCGATACAAAATGTGCTGCTTGTCAGAATCCAAGAAAACAGAATCTACCTGCTACTTCTGTTTCAACATCTGCTTCTTTTAAATTTGGTACTTCAGAGACAAGTAAAACTCCAAAGAGTGGGTTTGAGGACATGTTTGCTAAGAAGGAAGGACAGTGGGATTGCAGTTCATGCTTAGTGCGAAATGAAGCAAATGCTACAAGATGTGTTGCTTGTCAGAATCCAGGTAAACCAAGTTCATCTACTTCTATTCCAGCTCCTGCCTCTTTTAAGTTTGGTACTTCAGAGACAAGCAAGGCTCCAAAGAGCGGATTTGAGGGAATGTTCACTAAGAAGGAAGGACAGTGGGATTGCCATGTGTGCTCAGTAAGAAATGAAGCCAGTGCTACTGAATGTATTGCTTGTCAGAATCCAAGTAAACAAAATCAACCTACTTCTGCAACTCCACCAGCCTCTTTGGAGACAAGCAGCGCTCTAACGAGCGGATTTGAGGGAATGTTCACTATGAAGGAAGGACAGTGGGATTGCAGTGTGTGTTTAGTAAGAAATGAAGCCAGTGCTACCAAATGTATTGCTTGTGAGAATCCAAGTAAACAAAACCAACCTACTTCTGCAACTCCAACACCTGCCTCTTTGGAGACAAGCAAGGCTCCAAAGATTGGATTTGAGAGCATGTTCCTTAAGAAGGAAGGACAGTGGGATTGCAGTGTGTGCTTAGTAAGAAATGAAGACAGTGCTGCCAAATGTATTGCTTGTCAGAATCCAAGTAAACAAAATCAAACAACGAATGCAATTTCAACACCTGCCGCTTTGGAGACAAGCAGGGCTCCAAAGAGTGGATTCGAAGGAATGTTCATCAAGAAAGAAGGACAGTGGGATTGTAGCGTTTGTCATGTACAAAATGAGAATGCTTCCTTAAAATGTGTGGCTTGTGATGCTTCTAAATCAACTCATAAACCTATTGCAGAAGCTCCTTCTGCTTTCACATTGGGCTCAGAGATGAAGTTGCATGACTCTTCTGGAAGTCAGGTGGGAATAGGATTTAAAAGTAATTTCTCAGAAAAAGGTTTTAAATTTGGCAGTATAGAGCAAGGATTCAAATTTGGACATGCAGATCAAGAAAATTCACCTTCGTTTATGTTTCAGGGTTCTTCTAATACAGAAGTTAAATCAGCCAAAGAAGGATTTTCCATCCCTGTGTCTGCTGATGGATTTAAATTTGGCATTTTGGAATCAGGAAATCAAGAAAACAAAAGTGAAAAGCCTCTTGAAAATGATAGCGGCTGCCAGGCTCAGGATATTAGTGGCCAGAAGAATGGTAGTGTGATTTTTGGCCAAACAAGTAGTACTTTTACATTTGCAGATCTTGCAAAATCAACTTCAGGAGAAGGATTTCAGTTTGGCAAAAAAGACCCCAATTTCAAGGAATTTTCAGGTGCTGGAGAAAAATTATTCTCATCACAGTGTGGTAAAATGTCTGATAAAGCAAACACTTCAGGTGACTTTGAGAAAGATGATGATGCCTATAAGACTGAAGATAGCGATGACATTCATTTTGAACCAGTAGTTCAAATGCCTGAAAAAGTAGAACTTGTAACAGGAGAAGAAGATGAAAAAGTTCTATATTCACAGCGGGTAAAACTATTTAGATTTGATGCTGAGATAAGTCAGTGGAAAGAAAGGGGCTTGGGGAATTTAAAAATTCTCAAAAATGAAGTCAATGGCAAACTAAGAATGCTGATGCGAAGAGAGCAAGTATTAAAAGTGTGTGCTAATCATTGGATAACAACTACGATGAACCTGAAGCCTCTTTCTGGATCAGATAGAGCATGGATGTGGTTAGCCAGTGATTTCTCTGATGGTGATGCCAAACTGGAGCAGTTGGCAGCAAAGTTTAAAACACCAGAGCTGGCTGAAGAATTCAAGCAGAAATTTGAGGAATGCCAGCGGCTTCTATTAGATATACCACTTCAAACTCCCCATAAACTAGTAGATACTGGCAGAGCTGCCAAGTTAATACAGAGAGCTGAAGAAATGAAGAGTGGACTGAAAGATTTCAAAACAGTTTTGACAAATGATCAAACAAAAGTCACCGAGGAAGAGAATACGAGTTTAGATACAGGTGCAACCAGTACCTCAGACACAACAATAAAACCCAATCTTGAAAACACTGGGCCCACATTAGAATGGGATAACTATGATTTAAGGGAAGACGCTTTGGATGATAGTGTTAGTAGTAGCTCAGTACATGCTTCCCCATTGGCCAGTAGCCCGGTGAGAAAAAATCTCTTCCGCTTTGGTGAGTCAACAACAGGATTTAACTTCAGTTTTAAATCTGCTTTGAGTCCATCTAAGTCTCCTGCCAAGTTGAATCAGAGTGGGACTTCAGTTGGCACTGATGAAGAATCTGATGTTACTCAAGAAGAAGAGAGAGATGGACAGTACTTTGAACCTGTTGTTCCATTACCTGATCTAGTTGAAGTATCCAGTGGTGAGGAAAATGAGCAAGTTGTTTTTAGTCACAGGGCAAAACTCTACAGATATGATAAAGATGTTGGTCAATGGAAAGAAAGGGGCATTGGTGATATAAAAATTTTACAGAATTATGATAATAAGCAAGTTCGTATAGTGATGAGAAGAGACCAGGTATTAAAACTTTGTGCCAATCACAGAATAACTCCAGACATGACCTTGCAAAATATGAAAGGGACAGAAAGAGTATGGGTGTGGACTGCATGTGATTTTGCAGATGGAGAAAGAAAAGTAGAGCTTTTAGCTGTCCGTTTTAAACTACAGGATGTTGCAGACTCATTTAAGAAAATTTTTGATGAAGCAAAAACAGCCCAAGAAAAAGATTCTTTAATAATACCTCATGTTTCTCGGTCAAGCACTCCCAGAGAGTCACCATGTGGCAAAATTGCTGTAGCTGTGTTAGAAGAAACCACAAGAGAGAGGACAGATGTAATTCAGGGTGATGATGTAGCAGATGCAACTTCAGAAGTTGAAGTGTCTAGCACATCTGAAACAACAACAAAAGCAGTGGTTTCTCCTCCAAAGTTCGTATTTGGTTCAGAGTCTGTTAAAAGCATTTTTAGTAGTGAAAAATCAAAACCATTTGCATTTGGCAACAGTTCAGCCACTGGGTCTTTGTTTGGATTTAGTTTTAATGCACCTTTGAAAAGTAACAATAGCGAAAATAGTTCAGTAGCCCAGAGTGGACCTGAAAGAAAAGGACAACCTAACAAATGTGAATTGTCAAAGAACTCTGATATCAAACAGTCTTCAGATAGCAAAGTCAAAAATCTCTTTGCTTCCTTTCCAACGGAAGAATCTTCAATTAATTCCACATTTAAAATACCAGAAAAGGGTAAGTACTTTGTTGTTAAAGCTAAGTACAGCTTTTGTTTTAATGTTTAGTTTGATGCAGACTCTTGTAGGGTACTAATGTTGGGATGTAAATGGTACTTTATGAACACCTCAAAAATATTTGAGCAATTTTTTTTCTCCTTTAATAAGTTCACTGCGAGGGTTCAAAGAGCAACAGAACTTAATTTAAGAAATTTCAGTAACTGGAAGGTACTTCTGTCATGCTAGGGCAGAGCAAAAGAACTCAGTACAGTATATGGACTCATGATTGAATCATGTGCATTAACATGAGTTTTTTTTTTAAAGTGTTTCTTTTCATTCATTCAGTTTGTTTTGTCACCAGAAAACATGATACTGAGGCCGGGCATGGTGTCTCGCACCTATAATCCCAGCACTTTGGGGGGCCAAGGTGGGTACATTACTTGAGCTCAGGAGTTCGAGACCAGCCTGGCCAACATGGTGAAACCCTGTTTTACTGAAAATATAAAAATTAGCCAGACAAGGTGGTGCATACCTGTAATTGCAGCTATTCAGGAGGCTGAGGCAGAAGGATTGCTTGAGCACAGAGATGGAGGTAGCAGTGAGCTGAGATCATGCTACTGCATTCCAGCCTGACTGGGTGACAGAGCGAGACTTTGTCTCCAAAGAACAAAGAACATGGTATTGAGATGTTCTCATTTTATATGTTGTATGTTAGTCTTGCTCATTTACTAACTGAGCAAAGAATGAAACTACAGGGATAAATGAACATGTAAGACAAACAGATTGGCGGTATAAATTGAGGGACTCTGGCTTTTTGTGTTTTATAAGCATATTCATTTTGTTTCCCAAAATGTTAAAAAAATGAAATATTCTTTATTTTCTAGGATTTAATTTTAGCCTTTTTAAATCTAATCCCATGGCCTTTTGGACTAGCACCCCTCCCTCACAGCCTGAGAGCAAAGGTATAGAACTAGCATTCTCAGTATGAGATAACAGCAGTTTTTAGAAGCTGGTAGCCCTTAGCAAAGTATTAATAACTGTGGCTGTGTGAAATTAAGTACTTAACACTACAGCATGCATGTTAGAGAATGCCACTTTAAGTAAAGTACCTTTTGACTGGTGCCATGACACCCTTTAATGTTGGTTGGTTTTTTAAATGTTCTCAGATGCTGCTTTATACTTCATTGCTCTGTTATTTCAAGTCTGCTCAATGAAGATGCTGATTTGTACTTCATTGCTCTGTTATTTTAAGTCTGCTCAATGAAGATGCTGATTTGTACTTCATTGCTGTTATTTCAAGTCTGCTCAATGAAGACCTATGTTTTATCTAACTTTTATCTTTAGCCACTAATGTCTGCCAGTAGTCAAATGTAGTGGCAACAGCATGTATACAATATGAAAGAGTGTCCCTGTAGGGCTGTTCTTTTGTGCATGGTTAATGTTGTATTTGAAAATGGACCTCATTTTTGACAGCCACAATTCTACAGCTTGTATATTATGTATGTTGCACAGATCATTTTTAGAAGTGTTGCTACTAGAGTGGAACAAGAAGTAGGATCTGTTGAAGGCCTTCAAGAACAAGGTTAGGGAAGTGAGATCTTACCATTAGTGACCAGTAACACATCTTAGCCATGTCAAACAAGTACAATGATTAGGTAACAGTCTCTGTTTTTTTTTTTTAAATGTATCAGTTTTATTACTAGCTAAGGCAGCTCTTAATCTTTTATTTTTAAAGATACAGTCTTTGAGAAATGTGAAAAGTGTGAACTTAAAAGTGGATGTATAGTTGCATACAGTTTCTGTGAGCTCTAGATTAAGAATCCCTGACCTAAGAGCGAATGTGTCTGTACACTACTGTAGAACAAAGAGCCCTACTCTGTTTTGAATCTGATAATGTCATTGTCCCAAGGGACCTTAGAAATGAAGACTTCAGACATGAATAAACTGAGGGCAAGAGAGGCTCTCTGATTTACCCAAGCTGTCTTTACTGAGTAATAGCAGAAGAGGAACAAGAATATGTATCTTATGGTGTACTTTTATTTCTCCTAGCTAGGAAATGATACTGTGTTTTTGTTTATAAAGAAGAAGGACAAATTTAACATTGTAAAAGGAAGGGCAATGGTTTTCCAGAGCAGTGTCATTCAAGAGAAATAAAATGTAACCTGTGTATATATTTTAAAATTTTCATTCAGGTGCAGTGGCTTGTGCCTATAGTCCCAGATAGTTGGGAGGCTGAGGCAGAGGGATCACTTGAGCCCACAAGTTCCAGGCCTTAGTGAATTATGATCACATCACTGCAGTCTAGCTCTGGGTGACAGAGCAAAACTGCATCTCTTAAAAAAACATAATTTTTCTGGTAACCATTCTAAAAAGAATGAAAAGGAACAGTTAAAAAGGGAAACAGATGAAAGTAATCTTATTAATAATAGTTTATTTAACTCCTTATGTCCAGAGTATCATTTTAACTTCTAATTAATATAAAAATTAATAAGGTATTTTACATTATTGTTTTTCACCAAGTCTTCAACATCCAGTGTGTGTGTTTACACTTAGTGTTAGTTAGCACGTCTTGATTTGGGCTAGCCACTTTGTGAGGTTTTAATAGAATGTGACTAGGCTACCATATTGGACAGTATAGCTCTCAGAATGTTACCCTGTCACCAGTTGGTATACATGGGATGCTTAATAACCAGCTTACTTTATTAAATCTCTTTAGCCAGAAATTCTTCTTTACATTAATAGATCAGAACAGGTTGCATATAGAAGTTTATTCTCCTTCTGATTTTTTTGCCGTTTGCATTGATGGTGACTGGGGATGGGTTGTTTTCAGCCGTATGAATGGTCTTAGATTTTATAGTGTTTGTTACCCATAGAGTAACAGTTTTTGGGTGTAGGCAAACTAGATGTAAGTCTAGTCCTCTTCCATTCTTGGCAATTGTTAACTTTCCTTACAGGAACTAATCACAGTTGGCTTTGGATTAGTTTCATATGTCTACTAATACGTGCTTATGTTTTAAGGTTTTTTTTTTCAGTTGCTGCATATGCATGGATATTTTGGTAAATTATTGTATGCTAAGTATAGTTAGGCAGCACTTTAAAAAATAGCTTTTTAAATTCTAGAAATTAGTAGTAACTCTTTTCAGTGACTATTAAGTAAACACGATTTTTTTGTTTTCTTTGGTTTTAAATAGCTTCTGTGTTTACTAAGGGTTTTTGGTAGAATACTCTATCAGGATGCTAATGATTATCGTACATCTCTGTCTGCATCAAAGTATATGTACTTTTATCAGTATGATGTTTTAACCTATGGATAAGTTTCATGGTTTTTATTTTAAGTTAGAGTATTAATGTGAATTCTGAATACCTTATCTTTGTCAATTTTTTTTTGGATGGTATTACAGTAAAAGAGAAGAAAAAACCTGAAGATCTTCCCTCAGATGATGATGTTCTCATTGTATATGAACTAACTCCAACTGCTGAGCAGAAAGCCCTTGCAACCAAACTTAAACTTCCTCCAACTTTCTTCTGCTACAAGAATAGACCAGATTATGTTAGTGAAGAAGAGGAGGATGGTAAAACTTGTTATTTTAAAAACACTCTGTTCCCACTAATCTTAGTAAAATTGGGAGTATAGTTTAATTATTTTAAGCCTGCCTCTTAGAACTTATCACTAATATCCTTATAGGTAGATATTTACCCTAAGTGTATGGGTAAATAGTCAATGGATATAATGATCAAAAGGACTGTAATCATTAAGCAAGCATTTTTTGGATGGCTAATGTGCCAGGCATGTGTTTTGAGGGGTTTAAAGTAATCATAATTTTGCTGTAGTCCTAAATAGATGGAAGAGAGAGATAAGGCAGATAAGGTTATAATGGAAAACTTTGTATGCCATATAGTTTTTCAGCTGGGCAGTTAAAGTCTCAATAGAATCAGCTGGACAGTGGTGTACAGGATAGGTTTAGGGGACAAGGGGATTGGAAGATGAGCTAAAATGATAGTAGAGCAGTTTAAACATGATGAGAGGTTGAGCTAAAGCTCTAGCAGTAAGAGAACTATTAAGGATATAAAATTGGCTACAATTCAAATGAGAGAGAGAGAGAGGGTGAAGTTGGAGATAGTCCCTAAACTAGGAACCCCCCCCAAATTAACTAGAAATTGTTTTAATCAATTGTATTTTAAGATGAAGATTTCGAAACAGCTGTCAAGAAACTTAATGGAAAACTGTATTTGGATGGCTCAGAAAAATGTAGACCATTGGAAGAAAATACAGCAGGTATGTTAAGTTTAAAGGACATTTATGTTTGTCTTCTATTTAGAAGGAATAACCCAGTCTGATATTAATTATCAATTTTACTATGCCCATGGTGATTTAAAATACTTAACATTAGGTGAAAAATACTGTTTCCTGGGCGGTCCTTGTTCTTCATTAGCACATACAGGTCTTGTTACCTGGGTCTGTGGATTACATTGATGACTACCATTGTTGCAGAGAAGTTGGGCTTCATCTAATTTCATTTGCTTGTGTTGTTGTACCCATTTTTCAGATAATGAAAAAGAATGTATTATTGTTTGGGAAAAGAAACCAACAGTTGAAGAGAAGGTAAAAGCAGATAAGTTAAAACTTCCATCTACATTTTTTTGTGGAGTCTGTAGTGGTACTGATGAAGACAATGGAAATGGGGAAGACTTTCAGTCAGAGCTTCAAAAAGTTCAGGATGCTCAAGTAAGAGCATGTCTAATAAACTTTTCTTTTAGTTCCATTGCCTTTGTTGGTGCAATAAACTTGAGAATGTTCTTACTCATTTATTTATTTTTGAGACAGAATTTTGCTCTCGTTGCCCAGGCAGGAGCGCATCTGTTGGCTTACTGCAACCTCCACCTCCCAGATTCAAGCAGATCTCCTGCCTTGGCCTCCTGAGTAGTTGGGATTACAGGTGCCCACCACCACACGGGCTAAATTTTGTATTTTTAGTAGAGACAGGGTTTCACCATGTTGTCCATGCTGGTCTTGAACTCCGGACCTCAGGTGATCCATCCTCCTTGGCCTCCCAGAATGCTGGGATTATAGGCGTGAGCCACCGGGCCCGACCTAGAATGTTCTTACCAAATAGTAATAATAGGTTGTGGCTACTAAATGGGTTTAGGGGTCTAGAACAATCAGCTATGGCCAGGAAAGAAGGAATTTTAATTTTGTTCTACACAGGGGCTATGTGCCAAAAGCTACAAAACACTGATGAAATTTAAAAAAATCCAATAAATGGAAAGGCATACTGTTCTTGGATTGGAACACTCAAAATAATTAGAATATCAATTTTCCAAAATTGATCTATAGATTTAACACAATACCAACCAAAACCCCTCCAGGAATTCTTTATGGATATACACAAGTGAATTCTAAAATTTCTACGGAAAGAAAAGATTATACGTTTGTTACAGTTGATGAATCTACACTGATACATCATCACCTAACATTTTTACCTTAAATGAATGTTGAATTTTGCCAAAACTTTTTAATTATTGATGTAGTCATGTGATTCTTTTTATTAAATCTGTGAATGACATTGCATTTTCAAATGTTCAGAAAACTAACTTTTGCATTCCAGGGTAAACTTCACTTTGTCATAGTATAATTTTGATAAATGGTTGCATTCAATTTGTATATATCTTATTATAAATTTTTGGATTTGTATTTATTAGGAACTCGTAGTTGTCTGATACTGTCTTTGGTTTCTGTGTAAGAATAAAGCTGGTTGGGCTCAGTGATATGTATGGGTAGTCCCAGCTATTTGGGAAGCTGAATAGGAGAATTGCTCCAGAGTCTAGGAGTTCCAGGCTGCAGTGCACTGTGTATAGCAACTGCTCTCCAGCCTAGACAACATTAGCCTCTTTAAAAAATGGTAATGCTATTATCATAAAATGAATTGAGAAGTCTTTTCTGTATTGCTGTTTTCTGGAAGAGGGAGTGTTGAATTGGTGCCATTTTCCTTTAAATGTTTGAGCACTTTTCACCAATGAAACTGTGTCTGGAGTTTTCTTAGGTTTTGAAAATACTATTGATTTCTCATCTTTATTTTTTCCGTCTTGCCTTGGGTTTATTTTGCTCTTTTTTCGTTTTCTTTTGAGACAGAATCTTGCTGTCTCCCAGGCTGGAGTGCAGTGGCATGATCTCAGCTCACTGCAAACTGCGCCTCCTAGGTTCAAGCGATTCTTGTGTCTCAGCCACCCGAGTAGGTGGGATTATGGGCGCTCGCTACCACGCCTGGCTAATTTTTGTATTTTTAGTAGAGAGGGGGTTCCACTACGTTGCTCAGGCTGGTCTTGAATTCCTGACCTCAAGTGATCCTCCTGTCTTGGCCTCCCAAAGTACTGGGATTACAGGCATGAGCCACTGTGCCCAGCAGAGATTCTTCATTTAAAACAAACTTAAATTACGGATTTAAGATCATTCTTTATTTCTCATATAAGTATTCAATACTATAAGTTTTCTTCTAAGCACTTTCTAGGTGCAACTGACAAGTTTTAATATGTGGTATTTTCTCTCTTATGAAGTTGGAAATATTTTCTTATTTTCCTTGAGACATTCCTTTTAATCTGTGCATTAGATGCTACTATACCATTTCCATATATTTGGTGATTTTCCTTTTGTATATATCATTCTGTTATTGATTTCTAGTTTAATTCCTTTATGGTTCAGTTCTTACAAATTTTGTGAGATCTGTTTTGGTGAATGTTTCACTTGCACTTGAGAAGAAAGTAGAGCCTCTTTTTATGTTGACATTTTGCCATTGGCAGTTCCAGTTTTTTTGGCTGCTCTAGCACCCTAGGCTGGGTTATAGGAATGGCAGAAAAACTCCATGTGGATCTTAACATCAGATTCTCTCTCTGATCTCAAGATCCTTATTCTTCCTTCTTTTATCTGCCTTTCCAAGGCTTCTTAGAGAGTTGCTGTTTATGTTTCAGTCTAGGCATCTAGTTTATAGGTTTTGAGGAGCGATAGGGTGAAGTGTGTTTATTCTGTCTTCTCCAGAAGTCCAAGTTCTCAGTTCCGTTTGAAACAGATTATATAATCATTTTTGTAAATCAGTATTTAAATCGCATAGTGTTTTGTGACTTCCCTTTGCAGAAATCTCAGACAGAAGAAATAACTAGCACAACTGACAGTGTATATATAGGTGGGACTGACGTGACGGTACCTTCTTTCTGTAAATCTGAAGAACCTGATTCTATTACCAAATCCATTAGTTCACCACCTACTTCCTCTGAAACTATGGACAAACCTGTAGATTTGTCAACTAGAAAGGAACTTGATACAGATTCTACAAGCCAAGGTAAAACTTGATTTATGTTTATCATGCATTACATAAGGGACACCTTATATTTATATTTGAGAAGATAGACTTTTAAAGGCAGATCCTGAAAACTCCCTTTAAAAAAATTTTTGATGTGTATAAAGGGGCATCTTATTAGTAGTAATAATAATCAGAAAAATTGTGCTGTCTTGTCAACGAAGATGATAAATGTGTTTTGTCATTAGACTTGTGGTTATTAGGGAATACAAAGGATTATGACTCTGACCTATTTTCCTGAGTTTAAAAGACAATAGTATGCTTACATGTAATTTCCTTTGTGGTAGTGTTTTCATTTGAATATTGTTTGAATTATATTATCACTCAAGCACATTTAGAGTGTTTTAATTACAAAGAAATTATAGAAATATTATAATAGGGATTTTAAAAAGTTTTATGGTACTACCTAAATGTTTCTTATTTTCTCTAATAGTTTAAAAGCTTGCTAAATTAATTATTCAGTTATAGCAACATATTTGCTATTGCTTTCTCCTTTTTCATTTCAATTCTGCAGATGGAATTGGGAAGTTTAAGTTGTATTGCTTTGTGTACATTATCTACATTACCTTTTTTTTAAAAAAAATAGCCTTTAATGTCACAAATATTAAATTTATAGGTACTTGAGGGTCTTAATATGCTAAAAGAGGAAGATGACTTCATACCTAAAACCTAATACATTCTCAGATGAGGAAAATAAGGCATGGAGCTTTCAGATATCATGCAGCTACACATTAGCAGAATTAAGACAAGACTCCAAAAGTCCTTATGATCAAATGGAAATGAGACATTTGGTTTTTATGAGCTTATTTATACCACAGAACACAAAAAGCTTTTATGCAGATGTTTCCTAAAACCCTGCCTTTGAGTGAATGCTTGTTTTAGAGTATAGTAAGTTCCACAGAGCAGAAACTAGTTTAATATCTGGCTTAGAATAGATAGCTCTACATCTTATTTATAAAAAATAATTTTTGGCATGCATTTGGTGTAATATTGTACTATTCTTTGTGAATAGCTCTGGTAAAATTAGTAATACTGAAGAAGCTCAGAATTGGATATATTTTGTAACTTGCCAGAATTTAAATAACTCCTCTCATCCTAGAGTATAGAAGGTTCTAATATTCTCTCTAGGTCCTGGGTAAAGCTTTGATATTCAGTACAAATGAAATAATAAATTGTTCTTTTTCTTTTGCCAGGGGAAAGAAAAATAGTTTCATTTGGATTTGGAAGTAGCACAGGGCTCTCATTTGCAGACTTGGCTTCCAGTAATTCTGGAGATTTTGCTTTTGGTTCTAAGGGTAAGATCAAGAGGAGAAATTTTTAATAACATTGTTACAGAATCAAGCACAACTGAAAAACTAGTTTTTTGTTGCAGTATGTAACTAAGTTAGAAGTTTCTTCCCTTACCCCTCAGTTCATTTAGTATTTTAATAATGAAGGGCTTCTACACTTTATTATTTTTTGACATTTATCAAAATAATCATAAGAATTTTCTCTTCATTTTATCTAAGTCATGCTGATAGTCCTCCCCATTCTGAAATGCAGCACCATTTAACAGCTTCAGAATGGCTCTTTTATAACATTATTCTTTTAACTGTACTTTCATATTTGATTTGTTAATATTTCAGGATTTGTGAGTTTATAGTTTTTAAGGATATGATTTTATAGTTTTATTATTTGCACTGTCTTTGGATTTTAGTGTTAGGGTTGTGCTAATTTATTGTGGTAAGTTTATAATTGATATGCTTGCTCATCTTCTTAAGTGGACTTCTGTTTTAAATACATTTGGTAACATTTCTAGAAAAGCATCCATTTCCCTGATTGTTTCAGGTTTATCATTCATTATATTTTTGTTCATTGTATTTTCTTTATTGTAATGTCTTTCACATTGCTGTTTATAGCACCACTTAAATAGTTCTTGTACAAGGTGTTTGATTTATGGAACAAATTTTATTGAGGATATATGTTTGAATGATTAATGAAGTTCAGAATTCTTTTCTTTCCTCCTACATATTTGCACTTTGTTCACAGCTCCTGCCACCTGTAGAAACACATAAAACTTTTAGAAATTACCTTCATATATGGTATCGGAATTCGTGGCTTCACTGATGTCATTTATTTTTGTTTTAATTATTAAATAGCTTGAAATCAAAGGGTAATGTGTCAGCAAGTAAGCAACGTAGTAGATATACTTACACAAAAAAAAAGCCAAATAAAAATAGATAGGCTCCTTGTTACTCAGTGTATCTTTTTTGAAGTGTGTCAGTATTGTACAGTGAAGTGTAGACAACACTCATGTATCAAGAGGAAACCATGCCTAAATAAGCCTTATGCATTGACATTCACTTCTCACTACCACTTATCATTTTTAGTGAGATTATTCACCAAGCCCTTGTGTATTGAATGCTTTCTTTATTTAATTAGATTGTGCTTGTTAAAAAATTGCATTTGAAACTACTGCAGTCAGTTTTGTTTGTATCCCATAGGGTTTTATAGGGAATCTTTATACTTTTATAAATTTCCAGATAGTTTAGAGTTTCAGTCTTATTTTCTCTCAAAGCTTGCTGAATTAATTATTCAGTTACAGTAATATAACTGTAGACCCAGTACTGACCCTCGATACCCAGATACTGATATTGCAAATATTTTTACAAATGAGTCATTCTAATGTGTTCTCAGAGTAGATAACCACTATTTTAAAGGAATTTTTAATTCTTCTGCCACATGTCCCTTGGGGTTGTTTTTTAGTTAAATTTTTGCTTTTAGCAAAAAAGTTGGTGAAAAATTTTGTTTCGGTTTTTTTTTTTTGAGACGGAGTTTTGCTCTTGTTACCCAGGCTGGAGTGCAATGGCGCCATCCCGGCTCACCGCAACCTCTGCCTCCTGGGCTCAGGCAATTCTCCTGCCTCAGCCTCTCGGGTAGCTGGGACTACAGGCACATGCCACCATGCCCAGCTAATTTTTGTATTTTTAGTAGAGATGGGGTTTCACCATGTTGACCAGGATGGTCTCGATCTCTTGACCTTGTGATCCACCCACCTCGGCCTCCCAAAGTGCTGGGATTACAGGCTTGAGCCACCGCGCCCGGCCTCTTACAAGTTTTTAACAGAAGGTGTAGGGTTCTTTATGACAGTGATTCAGCAAGTGATGAAAAGTTAAGAGAGGTGTTTCTTTCTTCCAAGATAGTGGGGACTTAGTCATCTAAATTGAGGTGTGGGATGAAGAAGTTTCTAGTTTTCACCTTTTTGCAGGTACGCAAGAGAGAGATACCATCATTGTTCCCCCAACATTTCTGACATCCCTTGAGGCAGTAAAAGTCAGTGAGTTTCTCCCAAGGCTGCTGTCCACCAGCTGGGCCAGGAAATCTACATTCCAACACTAGCTTCTTAAGAAGTGGAGATGCAGAAGTTATAAAAATGTTTAGGCTACATTGGCTAGTTTGGAAGTAGCAGATTTGGCCTGCTGAGCTAAGTTTAAAAAATTTTAAGGTGGGTACTTGAAATTTTAGAAGTAGGTAAAGAACCTGCTTCTTTATTAGAAGTTCTTATGTAGGTTAGTATTATGAAATTTATTCAAGGTGACAGTCTTATCTGTGTGTCTCTAAGCATAAATCATACCAAATATACTTTGTACTAATGGTATGAGTTGAATTTACTAGATTTTTAAAGATAGTCTCTCGCTCTGTTGCCCAGGCTGGAGTGCAGTGGCGCCATCTTGGCTCACTGCAACCTATACCTCGTGGGTTTAAGTGACTCTTTTGCCTCAGCCTCCCAAGTAGCTGGGAACACAGGTGCACATCACCACGGCTGGCTTTTTGTATTTTTTTTTTTTAAGTAGAGATGGGGTTTCACCGCATTGGCTAGGCAGGTCTTGGACTCCTGATCTCAGGTGATCCACCTACCTTGTCCTCTTAAAGTGCTGGGATTACAGTCAAGAGCCACCACGCCTGGCCTAATTTTTGTATTACTAGTCAAGACGGGTTTTCACCATGTTGGCCAGGCTGGTCTTGAACTCCTGACCTCAGGTGATCCACCTGCCTCAGACTCCTAAAGTGGTGGGATTACAGGCATGAGGAATTTACTAGAATAATAATATTTTAAACATTTAAAATTGACATATATATTACATCATTGGGAATTAGGTGCATTGATTACATAAGAAGGGGATGAAAAATGTAAAAAATAGATACCAGTGTTTAAATATCCTAATTTATTCATCAGATAAAAATTTCCAATGGGAAAATACTGGAGCGGCTGTGTTCGGAACACAATCAGTTGGAACCCATTCAACCGGTAAAGTTGGTGAAGATGAAGATGGTAGTGACGAAGAAGTAGTTCATAATGAAGATATTCATTTTGAACCAATAGTGTCACTACCAGAGGTAAATGTTAAGGAATTAAACTTTTACTAATAACTTATTTTTCATTTTTAAGTTTAAAACTTATCCTGACTTGTTCTGTCAGGATATCATTGTTTGCATATCTTTAAGAATGTTTACAATTTGAAACAGAAGCTCTATTTATTAGACATCTGGCCATTAAGTATAAATTCTCTTTCTGATGTTTTTACATAAATGTTGCTTTGTAAATTCTATATGTAATTGTTGGGAGGAAATAATTTTTTCATATGGTGCTAGAATATCATGTTTTTTTTTATAACATGATTCTGTGGAAAAAGTAAATTCACACTTGCCAAAGTCCTTTTAATAAACATTAACTTGTATGTTTTTTGGACAGGAACATTGTTCTAGGAAAACTATTTTGACATTTTTTTAACCTCAGTCAGCAGCTAATACTTCTCTTCAATAGCAAACACTTTTGAAACCTCTCTGTTCTATAAAGAAAAGCATTTAATTTCCAAAAGGAGAACAAATACTATATGAAAGAAAATATTTAATGACAAATCAGGTCTTTATTCCCTCAGCCAAATCAGATATCTTCCTAGCCCTAATATATATAACCGATTATCATGATATTACAAATTCTGTTAGTCATCACAAAGAAAATACCTTAAAAAGAAATTGGATCAGTGGAAATTGTCATGGAATTTATTATAAGCAGCAGCTTATAGAGAATTTCATCTACCATTATAGGTCGAAGTAAAATCTGGAGAAGAAGATGAAGAAATTTTGTTTAAAGAGAGAGCCAAACTTTATAGATGGGATCGTGATGTCAGTCAGTGGAAGGAGCGTGGTGTTGGAGATATAAAGATTCTTTGGCATACAATGAAGAATTATTACCGTATCCTAATGAGAAGAGACCAGGTTTTTAAAGTGTGTGCAAACCATGTTATTACTAAAACAATGGGATTAAAACCCTTAAATGTTTCAAATAATGCTTTAGTTTGGACTGCCTCAGATTATGCTGGTGAGTTTCTACATTCAATTGCTGCTTTTCATTTTTTGGACTTTTCTAAAATCTATAACAAAACAACTTATAACAGTTATTTTACTAAGGTCACTCTTTCCTGTTTCCCCGCCTAATAGATGGAGAAGCAAAAGTAGAACAGCTTGCAGTGAGATTTAAAACTAAAGAAGTAGCTGATTGTTTCAAGAAAACATTTGAAGAATGTCAAGAGAATTTATTGAAACTCCAGAAAGGACATGTGTCACTGGCTGCAGAATTAACAAAGGAGACCAATCCTGTGGTATTTTTTGATGTTTGTGCAGACAGTGAACCTCTAGGACGGATAACTATGGAATTATTTTCGAACATTGTTCCTCGGACTGCTGAGAACTTCAGAGCACTATGCACTGGAGAGAAAGGCTTTGGTTTCAAGAATTCCATTTTTCACAGAGTAATTCCAGATTTTGTTTGCCAAGTAGGTATTAACTACATATCACAATTGAGGTCTAGAAGAGTGTACCATACTAACGTGGGAAATTTGAGTGTTTTTCCTTGACCTCATCCTGTAGTTTTTAAGATTTCTTTAGGTTTTTCACACATTAGTTGGTATCACTACCCTTTCCCTGCTCCTTCCTAAAACTTTCAACCTAAAATAATTTAGGCTGGGTGCCATGGGTTACACTTGTAATCCCAGCACTTTAGGAGGCCAAGGTAGGCAGATTGCTTGAGCCCAGGAATTTGAGACCAGCCTGGGCAATTCTTGTCTGCACAAAACATAAAAAATTAGCCAGTTGTGGTGGCATGTGTCTGTGGTTCCAGCTATGTGGAGGCTGATTCAAACTTTTAGTACTTGAGACTTACCAGAGACTAAGGGATGAGAAAAACATCTTTTTATTTCTCATCATCTTTCCAACAAAAGGAATTTCTTAGTTTTCAAATTGCATACTCAGGAAAGCTAGGCTTTAGGATTTATCCTGTAGGGATCAGTTCTGGGTGTATTTTAATGTTTTACTCAGGATTTCTATTAATTGAAATTTTTTCAAAATAAATTTTTATTAATCTCTTTTTCAGGGAGGCGATATCACCAAACATGATGGAACAGGCGGACAGTCCATTTATGGAGACAAATTTGAAGATGAAAATTTTGATATGAAACATACTGGTCCTGGCCTACTATCCATGGCCAATCGAGGCCAGAATACCAATAATTCTCAATTTTTTATAACACTGAATAAAGCAGAACATTTGGACTTTAAGCATGTAGTATTCGGGTATGTTAAGGATGGCATGGATACTGTGAAAAAGATCGAATCATTTGGTTCTCCCAAAGGGTCCGTTGGTCGAAGAATAGCTATCACAGAATGTGGACAGATATAAAATCGTTTTTCATAGAAAATTTTATCTGTATAAGCAGTCGAAGCTTAGCTATTACAATTTGGTAATTATGTTCAACTTTTGAAAATGGACGTTTCTGATATACAAATGTAAAATTGCAGCTTATAGCTGTTGTCAACTTTTTAAATGTGTTATAATTGACCTTGCATGGTGTGAAATAAAAGTTTAAACACTGGTGTATTTCAGGTGTACTTGTGTTTATGTACTCCTGACATTTGTATTAAAATGGAATGATACTAATCTTTAAAGCAATAGGCTTTCTCAAACTATTGAAGAAATATGATATATACAATTTAATTTTGATTTCTTTTAAGATATTTGGACTTCCTGCATGGATATGCTTAACCATTTGAATAAAGGACCACAGCTTGGATAATTTTATTTTAGGTTTGAAATATATTTGGTAATCTTAACTATTGGTATACTCAATTATGCATAGAGACTCATTTATGAATGGGTGGAGCCACAGAACTATAGAGTTAACCGAAGTGCTCTTCTCTAGAATCTTTACACCTCCTGTGTGGTTACAAGTTAACTTTTTAAGTAGAGTACCTTCCTTCCTTAAAATATGTAGCTTCCTGTTCCTTTTCATGGGTATTCAATTAATTTTTACATTTTAAACAAATTTACTATTTCCTTTAGGATTTTGTTTTAAACTTTTCTGTCATCTGTCTCTACTACCTCAGAAACTGCAGCTTCTTTCTGATGAGAGAAATTGATTTTTTTCCTTGTAGTTACTGTGATAAAAAAGTATGAATATTTTTAGAAAGTCAATACCATGTTCTTTGGTTAAGATTTGCTTTATAAAAGATTGTTGCAGTACCTTTTTCTGATAAATTTTGTAGCAGAAATAAAATGACAATTCATAAAAGCCATTGACATTCAAAAAATTCATTGTGCTTCTGGTTCATTCTAGTCTAAAGGAAGACAATTCAAAGGCAGTACATTCAAACTGTCGCATGATTTCCAGAGCTCCTAGTTTCTCAACTTTGATATACACTGAAAATGTATTTGGAAATGGCTTGTATCAAATGTTAGGCAAATTGCTAAAGAAAAGAGAATGTTCTTATTGGCCTACTCAGTATGGAACCTCAAAGAATCCAGGTAGAACACAAAATTTTGTATATTGCCATTATGAATATTGACTGTCTTCCACCAATTTGTGTTCTTCCTCATGAGTGTACCTCATTTTATTTAGTGAGGAAAGACAGTGAGGTTTGTTCCCTGTTATATGGGGATTTGGAAATAGGGTATCCTAAAGTAAAAAACTGTTCAACCACCAGCCAAATGAGGGGAGGGATGTTGTGTGAGTAATCAGTGATGGTGTACCATTACCATTCCACTTGGCCACAAAGCCAGATACCCGAAATAAACCTACTCCAAATTCATTGAACTGTGTATCAGTTCAATCTTGAAAAGAACCATGGATTACCTATGTTTACACTAAATATTTCAAATTGTCTTATTTGGAAATCTGTGTAATAGAAACTGATGTAAAGTGTGTTGTACTTTTTAGCTGAGACAGTTGATGCCGTCATGATTTTAGAATAAATTCTTAAGTAAATGCAAGTGCTTTTTAAGAGACTTTTTGCAAATTTCTATGCTTTCCTTAAAGCATTAAAGTTATGAATTAAAAAGCTTTAAAACTTTGACCAAAAATTTGACAAAATGACATGTAAACTGACTTCCAGTATTAGTTGGAAGATGCTTAAAAGTGGCTGTGGCATTTGTAAGAAAGTCTTTGTGTCACATTTCAGGAAAGGACTTTGATTTCTCTGTTACTTAATCACTCATGTGGTCTAAACCCACGATGATATGTATCTTTCCTTTTAAACTGGATTTTATATTGTCTCATTAAAATCTGCTTAAAAGACAATAAAGTAATGCATTATTTGTACATCTTAAGTGGTACTTTATGGCAAACAGAGTATGGTTTAAGTAATTTTCAGATAGTAACTGCATAAATACAGAGTTTATAAGACTTGGGCATTTGGGAACTTTAATCCAGAAAATTTAGGAGTTGTTGGCCCAGAGATGTAGTTGACAGTCACATTTTAGAAGATTACACCACTGTAACTATATGAATGAGAAAAGTGAAGTGGTTGTACAGTTTCTGTCAGTCTTTGTTTAACATAGGTTTTCAGGTTGATGTATACTATGGCTAGGCACTGTTGTAGGTACTAGTAAAAGCTTTAAAAAAAATGAAGTTTTTTTTCCAGGGAGCTTACATTCTAGTTACTATTTTTAATGCCCTGTTATACCCCATATGGAACACAGGGAAAGTAAGGAAATAATCTTTGCAATTTTTAGGCTCGGCTATTTGTTTTTTAACTTTTTAAAGAGAGGCCTTGCTGTGCTAACCCAGGGTGGATGTAACTCCCAGGCTCAAAGCAATGCTCCAGCTTCAGCCTCCCTAGCAGCCAAACTACACGGGCGCCACCCACTCCAGGTTCAGATATATTCTTGGTTTCTCTTTTATATGGCAGTTAGCAAAGGCCACTTCTGATGAAAGGACGGGTATATGTGGTGAGCGCAAACGCACATCGAACCTATAGGTTAAATGGAGCTGGAGCGGATCGCTGCAGGCAGGGGCGGGGCCTCGGTGCCCCTCCACCGGCAGGGCGGCACTCGCGCGGGGAGATGCAATGCCACTCAGTTGTGAAATCTGCAGTGCTAGCAGTAGAAACTCGGAGGACGCGCGGTCCGGCCAGGTTGCTTCCTCGAGGTCCTCCAGTCCCGCCTCGACCCTTCCTGTCTCTTCCCTGCCGCCGTGCGTGCCTCGGGGGGCGGGGACTAACGTCGTGACGCACCGCGACCGCGTTGCGCCGCGGGTTTGAACGCTGTTCCCGGGGAGACCGGTGCCGGAGCGGTGCGCTATGGAGCCGAAGGTCGTCAAACCACCGGGGCAGGATTTCGTAGTGGAGCGTCTCAAATGCCGCTACGGACTCGGAGGCAGCTGCCCCGAGGAGGTGAAGCCGCCGCCCCGAGGTCCGCGGGTGGGCTCCTTCTGCTGCTGCTGGGCGGCTGGCCCCGTGCCCCGCGCAGCTGGCCTGTGGACGCGGAGCGGCTCTAGTGCCGGCCCCCGCACGCCCTTAGTTGCAGAGGTTCAGGCCTCGTGGAAACGGACAGGAGGGGCGGGCGTTGCCCTGCAGGGGCATGGGGATGCGGGGCGCCGCTTCACCTACGCCTACGCGTCTGTGTTCATGGTACATCGGGCATGGAGTGGCGTTGGAGAAAGTATTGAGCTTATTCTTGCAGTGATGTGAATGGAGTTGAGAAAACAATTGAATTGCTTTTTAAAAGCGTCTTATTTCGAAATAGTTTCAGACACGCAAAAGTTGCAGTAGTACAAAGAATTTCCTTGTACCCTCACTTGCATTCACAGACTAACATTTTGCCACATATGCTTTTACTATTCGTTCTCTTCCCGTTCCTCCCTACACACACATTTTTTCCCTTTGAACTATTTGAGGGTAATTTGCAGGCATCATGCCCCTTTACGTGTAAATAGAAGAAAGTGTGTTTTTCCTAAGCATAAGGACGTTCCCTTTTCATAACCACAGTAATATTTTCAAGAAATTTAGAATTGATACAACAATATTGGGTAAAAGTTCATATGAAATTTCAGCAGTTATCTCGATACCTCTTATAGGCAGCATTTTTCCTAGCGCAGATCCAATCCAAGAACGAAGATTGATTGCATTTGTCCTTTTTGTTGCCTTTAATCTGGAACAGGTTCACAGCCTTTGTTTTTTGTAAGATCGGTTTTTTGAAAAGTGTAAGAATTAACTGGAATGTTTCTATTTCGGTTTATCTTATGGATGCCTCTTCATTAGATTGATTATGCATTTTCCGCAGGAGCATGAGATGAGTGATGTGTGGCCTGCTGTGGGGAGGTACCTGACATTGGTTTGCCACATTATTGATGATGTTTGATCACTTGGTTAAGATGGTGTCTACAAGATTTCTTCACTCTAACCTATGTAATTAATATGTAATTTGTGGGGAAATATTTTGAGACAATAAAGTCAGTATACAAATTAAATATCTTTTCTTTTTTTTTAAGTATGATTTTTCAAATTTTGATTGGTCTAAATGTAAGAGAAGATCTCTAACCTCCCCAGGTAAGCCAGTATTTTGTATATTTGGGGGTTTTTTAATTTAATTTGAGGCCGCGCGTAGTGGCTCACGCCTGTAATCCCAGCATGGTAGGCCATGGAGGGCAAATCACCTGAAGTCGGGAGTTCGAGACCAGCCTGGCCAACATGGGAAACCCCGTCTCCATTTTAATATTTTGTAAAAATACAAAGTATTAACCGGGCTTGGCGATGGGCGCCTGTAATCCCAGCTACTGGGAAGGCTGAGGCAGGGGAATCGGTTGAATCCTGGAGGCGGAGGTTGCAGTGAGCCGAGATGGCACCACCGCACTCCAACCTGGGCAACAAGAGCGAAACTCAGTCTCAAAAATGAAAAAGAAAATTAATTTGAGAGAGAAAATTTAAAAACTAATATTGTTTAGACTTATGGTCAGTGCCAGATTTTTGTGATATATTGTTCTGGTAATCTTCCGTGGTTTCTTTTTCGTTGACAGATGATTTGGATGTCTGCTCCTCTGGAGATAAAGTTGGTTCGTCATTAAAATATTATTCTGATGAAAGCAAGCATTGTAGAAAACCATTTTGCAGTTCATTCAAGCATATAAATGTGAATTGGTAAAGTACCCTGAAACTACCCCCTCAGTATCTCCAGAAACTGAGAAAGAGAAAAGGGCAGATTGTATTTTTGCTCTTTCCTGAGAGCAAGTACAAAGCAGTCTGGAGCCTGCTAAATAGTTGAAGAGACTCACTTATTAATTTTTGCTGAGAATCTCTGTAATAAAAGCATAGACCTAGCATTATATTTAGTGGCATAACGAAAGGTTATTTATATAATGTAAAAGATGAAAAAAATATTTTTGTGGTTATTCCTCCAGGACGCAAATGAACACTCTCCTCCCATTCTTTAAAAACGATTTTAAAAAAAGGGACTGTGGGCTAAGTGCTCATGCCTGTAATCCCAGCACTTTGAGGCCAAGGCAGGCGGATCACCTGAGGTCGGGAGTTCAAGACTAGCCTGACCAACATGGAGAAACCTGTCTCTACTAAAAATACAAAATTAGCCACTGCTGGTGCATACCTGTAATCCCAGCTATTTGGGAGGCTGAGGCAGGAGAATTGCTTGAAACTGGGAGGTGGAGGTTGCTGTGAGCCAAGATTGTGCCACTACACTCCAGCCTGGACAACAAGAGTGAACTCCATCTCAAAAACTAACAAACAAAAATACAAAAATTAGCTGGGTGTAATGGTGCACACCTGTAATCCCAGCTACTTTGGAGACTAAGGCAGGAGGATTGTTTGAACCCAGGATGTGGAGGTTTCAGTGAGCCAAGATTGTGTCATTGCACTCCAGCCTCGGTGACAGAGCGAAACTCAGTCTCAAAATAAGTAAATAAATAAGCAAGCATGGATAAAATAATGTAAAATATCTTATTTTTTTTTGTTTGTAGGGGGTTGCGTTAGGCAGGGTCATGCTCTGTTGCCCAGGCTATGAGTGCAGTGGCATAATTGTAACTCACTGTGACCTCTAACTCCTGGGCTTAAATGATCCTCTCACCTCAGCTTCCTGAGTAGCTGGAACTACACACATGCACTACTGCTCCTGGTTAATATATTTTATTTCATTTTTTTTGTAGAGATAGAATCTCACTGTGTCGCCCAGGCTGATGTTAAACTCCTGGCCTCAAGAGATTCTCCCACCTCAGCCTCCCAAACTGCTGAGATCACAGGCATAAGCCACCATGCTTGTTCTATCTTAATACTTTTTAACATTGATTGCATGTTGAAATGATAAACTTTTAGGTATAATATATGATATATATATTTTTTAATTTTATTTTTTTAATGTTCTAGAAAATTTTAAATTATATGACTTGCATTATATTGCTTTTGAACAACACTGTTCTAGAAATTTCAACTCAGATTGTCTTTCTGGAGAGAACACCTGGGATTCTAGTTCTGCTCCACTTTCTACTAGTTACGTCACCCATCAGTTATTTGACTTTTTTAGGTTTAGTTTCCTTATGTTAAACATTCATTCTTTTAGCTAGAACTGCCTTATAGAAAACACCAAATTATTGGGAATCAAAAGAAAGTGTTTGGGAGCTGTAGAGTAGACTACAGGTATATGTCATTTTAAATGTGTAGAAAAAGATGCTTGTAGTGGATTATCAATGATCAATGACTGTTACTTTTTACATTTTTCCTTTTTACATGTTTATATTTTGCAGTTTTAAAAATGTTTTTACATTTTTTCTCAGTTGTTATGCTGTTCATATTTGAAAAGCAGTTTTATCTTTTTAAAATGCTATAGTGAACTTCTAGATTGCTGCAACACAACTGTTTTTTTAAAGCCTAGGTGATGAACTGGATTCTTTCCGTTATTTGAAGAAACAGGAAAGAGAAGAAAAGTTAATTGAGAATGATCATAGAGTTAGTACCTCCAAAATATCTAAGCAGTCTTTTAAAGAAATAGAAAAAGGTAAAATAAATATTTTAGAACAACCAAGTAGTAATTTTGTCAAATAGAGTACATGAAACTGAAGCTTCCCTCCAAGTAATAACACTGGCCCAAGAGTTTGCATATTTCCGTGTTCTGAACTTCTGTAAGCCATGGGATAGGTACTGTGCTTATTATAAAACTAAAGGAGCAGAGAAAGTTAAACTTTATTATTTTCCAGGAGTATTCCTATACCCTCAACATTTATCAAAATAAATTAATAACTGAGTAAATGATTGTGATAGTATTTGAGTAACTCCAGTATTGGTTTTGAGAAAATACTCCAGATTATTTAAAGTTTGGCTTTCTGGGCACTGAACTACTGGCAGTTTTCTATGTATCTGACTGCATTTCATAGTTTTGTTAGGATTTCAAGGAATGAGACAACCAGAAATGGCACCCTTCTGCCTCTGGGCTACAGGACTTTGAGTTGCCCTGTTGGTAATACAGGTGCACTCTTCTCCCTGGGTTTTATGGTCTACATACAACAACATTCATTTCCCTCTTTCCCCTCTCCTTCTGGCTGCATTTCATAGTCCCCTTTGTCCCCTTATTATCAGCATTTGAGGAAGATGAAAAATAATTTTCTGGATTTGTGCTTCCTGCTATATGGTCGATTTTCCTAATGGAAAACATGGGATAAACTATAAAGAAAATGTTGATTGTATTCCATTAAAACTAATGGCAAAAACTGCAATACTTTTGCACCAATCTCATATTGGAAAGTAGACAAAATTAAGAAATGCTCGGGCCAGGGATTGGTGAGTGGGGAACCTAGACAGACAAGTAGAGCACTGTACATGTGCCTTTTGCTTTTAGGGCATTTGCTGAACTGAGCGAAGTGAAACTTTTCTTTTTAAAAAAATTCATACTTTGTTTTATTTTTGCTTTTCCATTTTCTGTTCAAGATGTAGTATAAGATACCCCCACCTCCCTTTTAAAGTTGGGGCTCCCACAAGTCTAGTGCAAGTTAAAACCACTGAGCAAGAGCATTTTATACTCTAATTGTTAGCAGAAAATAAATTCTGACAGTAAGTGTTGACAAGGATATCAAGTAAGAGGAACTCACTTATCTACTGCTGTTGGGAGAGTAAATTAAATAAGCACTTTAGGAAAACAATTTGGCATCACTAGTAAAGTTGAATCTGCATATATAACCCTATGATCTAGCAATTTCACCCTCAGGAAACTGTTTTTTATTTATTTTAATATATATATTTTTTGTGATGGAGTTTTGCTCTTGTTGCCCAGGCTGGAGTGCACTGCAGTCTCTGCCTTCTGGTTTCAAGCAATTCTCCTACTTCAGCCTCCAAAGTAGCTGGGATTACAGGTACCTGCCACCATGCCCCAGTAACATTTTATATTTTTAGTAGAGATGGGGTTTCACCATGTTGGTTAGGCTGGTCTCAAACTCCTAACCTTGTGATCCGCCTGCCTCGACCTCCTAAAGTTTCGGGATTACAGGCGTGAGCCACTGCACTCAGCTCATCAGGAAACTCTTAAACTTGTGCACCAGAAACCATGTACAAGACTGTGTAGCATCTGTATAACCAAAGCAGCTCAAATTTCTACCTGTAGGAGGATACCATATATAGTGTTTGCAAAACAGGATAAACAGTGAAGATTTGTGAACCTGTTTAAAGGAAGACGTTATAGAAATTATGTTCATATAATTACATATAAAATATAAAAGCAGGCAAAACAAGCAAGGACTTAAAATTTAAGTAGTGGAGTTTAAGCAGCATTTAATACTCATTTGTGTTAGTGATAAATTTGATTTGGAGGAGGGGGAATGTGATTAGGGGTTTCTGAGGTAATTTGCCATTTCTTGGCTAGATAATTAATGTCTTTTTATGTACTTTAAAATATTTTATTTTGAAATAATTTTAGACTTACAGAAAAGTTGCAAAGATAATGAAAACAATTCCTGTATACGCTTCACCCAAATTTTCTGAATGTTACCACTTTACCATATTTGCTATATTATTATTTGCCCCTTTGAAACTTTTTTTTTTTTTTTTTTGAGATGGAGTCTTCGCTCTGTCACCAGGCTGGAGTGCAGTGGTGTGATCTCGGCTCATTGCAACTTCTGCCTCCCGAGTTCAAGAGATTCTCCTGCCTCAGCCTCCTGAGTAGCTGGGACTACAGGCATGTGCCACTATGCCCAGCTAATTTTTGTATTTTTAGTAGAGACAGGGTTTCACTATGTTGGCCAGGATGATGTGGATCTCCTGACTTTGTGATCCTCCTGCCTTGGCCTCCCAAAGTGCCAGGATTACCACCATGGTGTGAACCACCATGCCCGGCCTGAAACTTTTTAATGTTATACTTTGTACTTAAAGCATCTCTTCCTAAAGGTTACTCTGAGAATATTTGAAACAATAAGTTAATAAAGCTTATAATTCAAATGTTATTTTCTTTGCCCTTGCCCTGCCAGCTAATATGCCCTTGCCCTGCCACTCATCAAGACCTCAGACTGAGTGTTGTAGTGATGCAAGTGACTCTCCTTTGAAACTTGTCAGCTGTCCAAAATCTAAAGCATCAGACAAGCAGAGTTTACTTCCACATCATATCAGTGAGATATATGACGAATTATGTCAGATACATCTGAAACTGCAGGTAAGAACTACTGAATTGAGAATTCAGAAATATTTATGTTCTAAGAACCAAGCATTTACAAAATTTGAATATAATTTATTTCATTTTAATTACTTTAGGTAAGTGAGTCAAGACAAGGACAGAAGGGGACAAACTCAAATTATGGGGACTATTGAAGGGAAATATATGTTGTGGCTGAGAGAAAATAGAGACCGTGGCGTTTTTATTTGTAGGTGTGTGTTTCAGGCTGTCTTATGTTTTATGTTGATTCCTACCTCATCCTTACTTAAGCAATAAAATCTGATAAAGTATGCTTTTTGAAATAGTTGCTCTAGCTTTATTGTTTTAAATATGTATATATAAGGAGCCCTCTTGTCAACTCTCATCAAAATTTAACTATTAACATTGGCTTATTATCTGCCTTTGGTGTTTTTTTGTTTCTAAAGTAATTTTCTTTTTTTTTTTTTTGCAATGGAGTCTTGCACTATTGCCCAGGCTGGAAAGTGGTGGTGCAATCTTGGCTCACTGTAGCCTCTACCTCCTGGGTTCCAGTGATTCTCCTGCCTTAGCCTTGGGAATAACTGGGATTACAGGTGCACACCACCACGCCCAGCTAATTTTTTGTATTTTTAGTAGAGATGGGGTTTTACCATGTTGGCCAGGCTGGTCTTGAACTCCTGACCTCAGGTGATCTGTCCGCCTTGGCCTGCCAAAGTGCTGGGATTACAGGCATGAGCCTTCTCACCTGACCAAAAGAGTGTAATCTATATATTAAACGTCCACAAGAAGTAGAGAAGGAAGCAGAAGTGTATGTAATGTACAGTATCTGTTTGAAATTCTTCCCATTGGAAACACATGAAATAGTTAAGCATTTCTTTAAAACCAATATCTCATTTTGTCAAAATAAATCAGATTGTAATTACCGTAACATTTTAGAAAAAGATTATTTTAGCCTAACGTCACCAGGAAAAGGTTAAGGAGAGACTTAAACTGGTCTTTGACTGAGAAAAAGAGTATTGGGAAGGGCATTCCAGGTATAAGGAGTTAGAAGTGAGAGGTGTTCTGAAAAGCAGTGATTGTCTAATTGTGCATTTATTAGCCTGGCTGGAGGAAAGAAAATAATGAAAACTCAGGCTGGGTATTTTACAAGTTTTTAAGCAAAAGGAGTGGCAGAGTAAAAAGTGAGGTTTTAGGAACATTCCTTTGATAACACTTTATAGGATAAAAAAGAATAGGCAAGATTGCAAGATGTATCTGTCATTAGTAGTAAACATGATAAAGATATATTTAATAAGAAAAATTGAAGTACAATGGATTAACTAGTTTAATCAGTCTATAGTTTAATCTGACTTTAAAATTTACTTTGTTAAGTACGGCCACTATGGAGGTTCCTTAAACTATAAATGGAACAACCATATGATCTAGCAATCCCACTGCTGGGTATATACTCCCAAAAAAGAAAACAATGTATCGAAGAGATATCTGTAACTCCCATGTTCATTGCAGCTCCATTTGTAATAACCAAAATATGGAATCAATCTAAGTGTCCATTGGCAGATAAAGAAACTGTGGTATCTATACACAATGGAACATTATCCAGCCATAAAAAGAATGAAATCCTATTGTTTATAGCAGCATAGATAGAAATGGAGGTCATTATATTAAGAGAAATAAGCCAGGCACAGAAGGACAGACATTGTATGTTCTCACTCATGTATGGGGTGGGAATTAAAGAAGTGGATCTCATGGAAAAAGAGATGGAATGATGGTTACCAGAGGCTGGGAGGGGAAGGGTAGCAGCGGTGAAAAGAGGTTAGCTAATGGGTTTAAAAATACAGTTAGATAGGAGTAAATTTCAGTATTTACTAGTACAATAGGGAAATTATAGTTAATGATAATTTATTGTATATTTTAAAGTAGCTAGAAAAGAAGATTTGTAATGTTTGACCTTGGTGGGGATGTTAAGTAGGCTGTTTGGACCTGACTTTGGAGCCTGTGAGAAAGATTTGAACAGTTTTAAGTTGGGAACAATTAGCATATACTTGGTAATTTTAGCCATTGAGTGGAATAATTAAGCAAAAAGTATATAAGAAATGAGCCATTCCAAGATGGCTGAAAAGGAACAGCTCTGGTCTGCAGATCCCAGTGAGATCAATGCAGAAGACAGGTGATTTCTGCATTTCCAACTGAGGTAAATGACTCTTCTCATTGGGACTGGTTAGATAGTGGGTGCAGCACACTGAGGGCAAACAGAAGCAGGGTGGGCCACTGCCTCACCTGGGAAGTGCAGGGGGTTGAGGAACTCCCTTTCCTAGCCAAGGGAAGCCCTGAGGGACTGTGCTCTGATGAACAGTACATTCTGGCCCAGATATTTCACTTTTCCCACAGTCTTTGCAACTTGCAGACCAGGAGATTCTCTCCGGTATCTACACCACCAGGGCCCTAGATTTCAAGCACAAAACTGGGTGGCCATTTGCAGGGGTTGCAATCCTAGTCTCTGATAAAACCAACAATGATGAAAAGAGGCAAAGAAGGATATTACATAATAGTGAAGGGATCAATGCAATAAGAAGGGCTAACTATCCTAAATATATATGCACCCGGTACAGGAGCACCTAGATTCAAAGAGCAAGTTCTTAGAGACCTACAAAGAGACTTACACTCCCACACAATAATAGTGGGAGACTTTACCACCCTACTATCAATATTAAACAGATCAACAAGACAAAAAATTAACAAGGATATTGAGGACTTGACCTCAGCTCTGGACCAAGGAGACCTAATAGACATCTACAGAATTCTCCACCCAAAATTGATAGAATATACATTCTTCTCAGTACCACATTGCACTTACTCTAAAATTGACTATATAATTGGAAGTAAAACACTCCTCAGCAGATGTAAAAGAACAGAAATAATAACAAACAGTCTTTCAGACTACAGTGCACTCAAATTAGAACTCAGAATTAAGAAACTCACCCCAAATTGCACAACTACATGGTAACTGGAGCAACCTGCTCCTGAATGACTAGTGGGTAAATAATGAAATTAAGTAAAAAATAAATAAGTTATTTGAAACCAATGAGAATAAAGACACAACATACCAGAATCTCTGGGACACAGCCAAAATAGTGTTTAGAGGGAAATTTATAGCACTAAATGCCCACAAGAGAAAGTAGAAAAGATTTAAAATTGACACTGTAATATCACAATGAAAAGAACTAGAGAAGCAAGAGCAAACAAATTCAAAAGCTAGCAAAGACAAGAAAAACCTAAGATCAGAGCAGGACTGAAGGAGATAGAGACATGAAAGACCCTTCCAAAAAAAAAAAAAAAAATCAGTGAATCCAGGAGCTAATTTTTTTTAAAAGATCAACAAAATAGACTGCTAGCCAAACTGATGAAGAAGGAAAAAGAGAAGAATCAAATAGACACAATAAAAAATGATAAAGGGAATGTCACTGCTGATCCCACCGAAATACAAACTACCATCAGAGAATACTATAAACACCTCTACGCAAATAAACCAGAAAATCTAGAAGAAACGGATAAATTCCTGGACACATAACACCCTCCCAAGACTAAATCAGGAAGACGTCAAATCCCTGAGTAGACCAATAACAAGTTCTGAAATTGAGGCAGTGATTAATAGCCTGCCAGCCAAAAAAAGCCCGGGACCAGACAGATTCACAGCTGAATTCTACCAGAGTACAAAAAGGAGCTGGTACCATTTCTTCTGAAACTGTTCCAAACGATACAAAAAGAGGGACTCCTCCCTAACTCATTTTATGAGGCCAACATCATCCTGATACCAAACCTGACAGAGATACAACTAAAAAGAAAATTTCAGACCAGTCTCCCTGATCAACATTGATGTGAAAATCGTCAATAAACCACTGGCAAACTGAATCTGGCAGCACACCAAAAAGCTTATCCATCATGATCAAGTCGGCTTCATCCCTGGGATGGAAGGCTGGTTCAACATATGCAAATCAATAAACGTAATCCATCACATAAACAATGACAAAACCACGATTATCTTAGTAGATGCAGAAAAGACCATAAAAATTCAACACTACTTCATGCTAAAAACTCTCAATAAACTAGGTATTGATGGAACCTATCTAAAAATAATAAGAGCTATTTTTGACAAACCCACAGCAAATAACTCAATGAGCAAAAACTGGAAGCATTCCCTTTGAAACTGGCACAAGATAAGGATGCCCTCTCTCACCACTCCTATTCAACATAGTGTTGGAAGTTCTGGCCAGGGCAATCAGGCAAGAGAAATAAATAAAAAGTATTCAAATAGGAAAAGAGGAAGTCCACTTATTTCTGTTTGCAGATGGCATGATTGTATATTTAGAAAACTTCATCATCGTCTCAACCCAAAATCATCTTAAGCTGATAAGTAACTTCAGCTAAGTCTCAGAATACAAAAATCACTGTGGAATAATCACAAGCATTTCTATATACCAATAAAAGAAAAACAGAGAGCCAAATCATGAGTGAACCCCCATTCACAGTTGCTACAAACAATATAATACTTAGGAATAGAACTTACAAGGGATGTGAAGGTCCTCTTCAAGGAGAACTACAAACCACTGCTCAAGGAAATAAGAGAGGACACACAAAGATGGAAAAACATTGCATGCTCATGGTTAGGTAGAATCAATATTGTGGAAGTGACCATACTTCCCAAAGTAATTTATAGATTCAATGTTATCCCCATCAAGTTACCATTGACTTTCTTCACAGAATTAGAAAAAACTATTTTAAATTTCATATGGAACCAAAAAAAGAGCCTTTATAGCCAAGACAATCCTAAGCAAAAAGAACAAAGCTGGCGGCATCACACTACCTGACTTCAAACTATACTAGAAGGCTACAGTAACCAAAACAGCATGGTACTGGTACCAAAACATACAGACCAATGGAGCAGAACAGAGGCCTCGGAAATAATACCACACATCTACAACCATCTGATCTGTGATAGACCTAGGCAATACCATTCAGGACATAGGCATGGGCAAAGACTGCGTGACTAAAACACCAAATGCAATGGCAACAAAAAACCAAAAGTGGCAAATGGGACCTAAACTAAGGAGCTTCTGCACAGCAAAAGTAACTATCATCAGAGTGAACAGGCAACCTACAGAATGGGAGAAAGTTTTTGGAATCTATCCATTTGACAAAGGGCTAATATCCGGAATCTACACAGAACTTAAGCAAATATACAAGAAAAAAACAACCGCATCAAAAAGTAGGCAAAGGATATGAACAGACTTTTCTCAAAAGAAGACATTTATGCAGCCAAAAAACATGAAAAAAAGCTCATTATCACTGGTCATTAGAGAAATGCAAATTAAACCACAGTGAGGTACTGTCTCACCAGTTAGAAAGGCGATCATTAAAAAGTCAGGGAACAACAGATGCTGGAGAGGATGTGGAGAAATAGGAACTCTTTTACACTGTTGGTGGGAGTGTAAATTAGTTCAACCATTGTGGAGGACATAGTGGTGATTCCTCAAGGATCTAGAACCAGAAATACCATTTGACCCAGCAATCTCATTACTGGGTATATATCCAAATGATTATAAATCATTCTACTGTAAAGACACATGCATACATATGTTTATTGTGGCATTGTTCACAATAGCAAAGACTGGGAACCAGCCCAAATGCCCATAAATGATAGACTGCATAAAGAAAATGTGGCACATATACACAATGGAATATTCTGCAGCCATAAAAAAAGGTTGAGTTCATGTCCTTTTCAGGAACATGGATGAAGTGGGAAACCATCATTCTTAGAAAACTAACATGACAACAGAAAACAGAGCACTGCATGTTCTCACTCATAACTGGGAATTGAACAGTGAGAACACATGGACACAGGGAGGGGAGCATCACACACTGGGGCCTATTGGTGGTGGAGGGTTAAGGAGGGATAGCATTAGGAGAAATACCTAATGTAGATGACAGGTTGATGGGTGCAGCAAACCATCACAGCGCATGTATACCTATGTAACAAACTTGCACATTCTGCACATGTATCTCAGAACTTAAAATATACATATATTTACACACACACACACACACACATATATGAGTATAAGTAATGAGGGGAAAATGGCTCAAGCCCAAATCCTGAGGAATATTAGTAATTAAATGACAAATTAAATGACAGTAGTAGAAGCAGAGCCTGCAAAGAAGCCTCAGAAGCCATGGCTAGTGATAGCAGTGGCAACTAGAAAAATGGTGTCATGGAAACCAATGAAGGAGAGTATTTTAAGTTGTAGGGACCATAGTATAAAATGCTGTTGAGAGACTCAAAATAAGGACTGAAAAGTGACCTTTAGATTTAGTAATAGGTAAGTCGTTTCAATAGAGGAACGTGGACTGAAGCCAGTCTTAAGTGAGTTGATGAATGATTCTGAAATAAGAGACCTCAGCAAATGTAGATGGTTGTAAAGGAGAAGAGGTGAGTGTGTGGGGCCAAGAAAGATTTTAGTTCAGATGAGTTGGGAGAGATTGAAAATAATAGAGGGGGCCAGGTGTGGTGGCTCATGCCTGTAATTCCAACACTTTTGGAGGCCAAGGTGGGCAGATCATGAAGTCAGGAGATTGAGACCATCCTGACTAACATGGTGAAACCCTGTCTCTACTAAAAATACAAAAAAATTAGGTGGGCCTGGTGGCACATGCCTGTAATCCCAGCTACTCAAGAGGCTGAGGCAGGAGAATCTCTTGAACCTGGGAGGTGGGGAGGTTGCAGTGAGCTGAGATTGCACCATGGCGCTCCAGCCTGGGGGACAGAGTGAGATTCTGTCTCAAAAAAAAAAAAGGGATAATTAGCAGTCTTCACAGGATGGCTTAAGGCAGTGTGATCCTGAAACTGCCTTTTTAATGAGAGGAATGGAGAAGCATAAGTATATGTATTTTATGACCAAGAGATTGATGTTTTCTTTTCCTGTTTTCTGTTTTTTCTGTGAATTTAGAGACCAGACTATTTACTGAGAGTGGCATATAGGACATGATGTATTCCAAATTAATAAAATGGGGAAGGCTCAAAATAGACACTTTGGAATGAGGATTGGAGTGCTGGCTGTGAACATATAAAAAGATTTTTGGATTACATTAAGAATCTAGTACAGGACTGAGACCATGAATTCACAAAGGGGCCACTTTTCAGAGTGTATGATTTTTTTTACCCCCACTGGTGCTGAGCTGAGTAGCACAGGGCCAGGAAAGGTGTTCAGTGCTTATCCAGGCCTTGGTCTTTCAGCCCAAGGTGACAAACAAGGTGAGGGAGTGGAGGATATAGGAAAAATAGTAGAGTATGTTGTGGAAGCAGAGCATGGAATTGAAGCGGGATTGGGAACTAAACCTGTGTAGTACGGATCTATTGGGGTCACTACCTGTGGGGGTTTGTAGGACTCAGCGATAGATGAATAAAGTACACTGACACACAGATATTATGTTTTACCAGTCCGGCTGAGGGTCTGTGGGTTTTTACAGACTCCCTGGAGAGTACCGTAAAGAGATAGTAGCCACCAGCCCCACCAGCCAGTGAGACTCGCATTTATTTAGTAAAGTTTAATTGACAAAGGCTTGAGTCAACCCGACTAGAGTGAGAAGATTAAAGGACAGGTTCTGATGCCCAAAGCAAACACCATTAGTGGGTAATAACCCTGGTCAACCTCCCACCGAGAGGGCCATCGGCCTCAAAGGTTAGTTTTAAGCCCACATGAATAAACAAATTATTCAGATAAACTTCCCCATATACCTTAGCTCTTTGCTTTTCTTATTAAGTAAATGTAAAGGGGTTTAGGCTGCTTTCAGCTGAAACTTCCATGGAAACTATGAAAAAACACTTAGGCCTTCCAAAAGGGTTTGAGACTATGTTCTATAACTTTCTCTACTATTTTTTTCTTAATATTTTTGCCACCACCCTGAGTAAATTCCCACATTGATCCATTTTGGACCCCAAATTCTCTTGCATCATCACAGTGGACTCTTATTAGTATCACATCCTTTTATATCAAGATAGAATTTCTATACAAGTTTACTTGGTGTATTAGTCTAGATACTGTAATCCGGGTTGTCCTTAGTTACTCCCATATTCCTGAAAACCACTTGGTTAAACCACAGTGTCAGCCAACAGGAATATAATTTGCAGAAATTTGTGACTTTTTAAGAGCTTTACAATCTGGCATTTTGATACAGTGTGAAACTGCAGCACAACAGAAATTTGCTGAGGAACTTCAAAAGCGAGAACATTTTTTACTTGAAAGAGAACAACTGCTTTTCAGACATGAAAATGCCTTGAGTAAAATTAAAGGTGTCGAAGAAGAAGTTATAACAAGATTTCAAATTATAAAAGAGGTAACTATATAGCTTTTGATTTTAGAGTGGTATATTTTTTTCTTCTATTCACTAGTTATTAATATTTTGCCACATTTGCTTATTTCTCCTTCCTCCTCCTTTCCACACCCACACATAGACACACACACACACACACACACACACGTATGCATGCACACATGTTCTTTTTTTCTGAACTGTTTGAAAGCAGTTCGTAAAAATCATGACTCTGTCCCTAAATACCTCAGTATGTATCTCCTAAGAATAAAGACATTCTCCAGACCATTAGCATATGAGGAAATTAATGCTAACTAAATAACTTATTTATAGTCTATATGCTTTCTCAGTTGGTCTTCAGCATATCTTTTATTGTTTTTTGGGTTTTGTTTGTTTGATTGATCAAGGAACTAGACAAGATTCATGCATTATATTTGGTTTTATATTTTTTTGGTTTCTTTGAATCTAGAGCACTCAACCTCACCATTTTTGTTTTTTTTGTGAGATTTTTCTTTGAAGAATTCAGGCCAGCAGCCTTATATTTCACATTGTAGATTTGCCTGATTGCTTCCTAATTATAATATGCAGATAAAATATTTTTGGCAAGGATATTATATAGGTGGTATAATCTACCTTGCTTCATTCATATCAAGACGTACATTACTGTATGTAGAACTTACCTGGAGTAAAATTCAATGCCTGTTGTACATTTCTGTGAGTTTTGAAAAATGCATAGTTTTATAATCACAACCATTGTCAAGATAAAGCCAGTTCCCTTATGCTTTTCTTGTAGCTTTCCCTTTCCTCCAGCCTCAGTGCTTGGCAACCACTGACCTATTTTCTGTCCTGGTACATCTGTCTTTTCCAGAATGTCATGTTAATAGCATCATTTTATGATTTTTTTCTTTATCTTTGGTTTTCAGCAGCATTTTATTTACAGTATTTCTTGACATACTTTTCTTTCAGTTTATTCTGTGGTTAACTGAGCTTTTTTTTTTTTTTTTTGAGACGGAGTTTCGCTCGTTACCCAGGTTGGAGTGCAATGGCGCAATCTCGGCTCACCGCAACCTCCGCCTCCTGGGTTCAGGCAATTCTCCTGCCTCAGCTTCCCGAGTAGCTGGGATTACAGGTATGTGCCACCATGCCCAGCTAATTTTTTGTATTTTTAGTAGAGACGGGGTTTCACCATGTTGACTAGGATGGTCTCGATCTCTTAACCTCGTGAACCAACCGCCTCGGCCTCCCAAAGTGCTGGGATTACAGGCTTGAGCCACCGCACCCGGCCCCTGAGCTTCTTAAGTTTGGAAATTTCTGTATTTTGACAAATTTGGGGACTCTTCAGCCAATATTTCACCAATATTTTTTCCACTTTCTTTCTTCTTTCTTCCTGGATCTCCAGTGACTCCCTGTGCTCTTTGCCCACTGATTTCTGAGGCTCTGTTCCTTTTTTCCCATTATTTTCTTGGTATTCTTCAGATAGTTTCTGGATTCATCTTAAAGTTCATTATTTCGTTTTTAATCTTCATGTTGTTATTGAGCCCATCTAGTAAAATTTTCATTTCTGATATTTAAAAATTCTAAAATTTCAAGTTCTTTTAAAAATTTGTTTGTTTTTCTCATAAGCATTTCTGTCTTTGTGTTTACATTTATGTATATTTACTTTTACCTCATGGAGCATAGTTTAAAACATCCATCTGTATCATCTCAAGATTGGGATCTGTTAATTATCTTTTCTTTTGAGGGTTACTGTCTTTGGTTCTTTTTATGTTCAGTGATTTTTATGGTATATTCAAGACCTCCTGGTTATCATGTTTAGGTTTTGGGTTCTACTGCTGCCCTCTGGAGAATGTTGTTGATTTTAAAGCATTCAGCCCAATTAGATTTAGGCCTCAGTTTTTTGTTTTGTTTTGTTTTTTCAGATGGTCTCGCTTTGTCACCCAGGCTGGAGTGCAGTGGTGCAATCTCAGCTCACTGCAATCTCCGCTTCCTGGCTTCAAGCAATTCTTCTGCCTCAGCCTCCCGAGTAGGTGGGATTATAGGTGCCTACCACCATGCTCGGCTAATTTTTGTGTTTTTAATAGAGACAGAGTTTCACCATGTTGGTCAGGCTGGTCTTGAACTCCTTACCTCAGATAGTCCACCTGTCTTGGCCTCCCAAAGTGCTGGAATCACAGGCGGAGCCACCTTGCCTGGCCAGGTCTCAGTTTTTTTCTCACCTCCTCTGGTCATTGGTTCTCATCTCAGTTAAGCTTTCAAAGCCTTTGCAGTGTTGCTGTGGAGTTGTATTGTGCCTGTGCCTCTTAAAGGTTAGTGTGAAACTTGGGTAACAGTTTAAAATCCTAATACATTTCTCAAAGCTTTTGCTGTGCTGGTCTGTGTCTTTTTTGTGCAGGTAAAGAGGCATTGAAGTGTTAGCCAGGACTTAGGTATTTTAAAACTGAGCTCCATTCTCCAAGCATTGGCTCTACTGCTTTTTGTCTATCCTGTGGTTCCTTCTTTCTGATTTTCCTGCCAGGAAGACTGGTTTTCTTTTAGTCTTTAGTGAAATCTTTTTAGAGCTTTAGTGAAATTAAAAGAAAAATTATTTAAAAAATTTTAGAGATGGAGTCTTGCTGGGCTGCCCAGGCTGGAGTGCAATGGACACCGACGTCATCATAGCTCACTATACCCTCAAGTCATCTTCCTCCCTCAGCCTCCTGAGTGGCTGGGACTGTAGATGTGCACCACTGTGCCCAGCTAGTTGAAGTTTTTGTTCTGCTTCTCCATGTCTGGGACCCACCCTGGGGCAAAGTGTTGAGAGAAGACGAAAAACAAGAATGAGGAAGCAGCCGGGCGTGGTGGCTCAAGCCTGTAATCCCAGGACTTTGGGAGGCCGAGGTGGGTGGATCATGAGGTTGAGAGATCGAGACCAACCTGGTCAACATGGTGAAACCCCGTCTCTACTAAAAATATAAAAAATTAGCTGGGCATGGTGGCGTGTGCCTGTAATCCCAGCTACTCAGGAGGCTGAGGCAGGAGAATTGCCTGAACCCAGGAGGCGGAGGTTGCGGTGAGCCGAGATTGCGCCATTGCACTCCAGCCTGGGTAACGAGAGTGAAACTCCGTCTCAAAAAAAAAAAAAGAATGAGGAAGCTTTACCCTTGAGGGTTGCTTCTCCAAGTTTTCTCTCCCAGCAATGTCCTCCCCTTTTTTCTTTTCACAGTTGTCAGGTAGTTGTTTTGTGTTTTATTTAGGGCTTTTAGCTGTATTCAGTGGCAGAAGAGTATATTCAGCTTATCCTGCTGTGCTGGAAATGGAATGCCTATGTTTTAAATATCTTTTAGATAAGGAAAAAGTTGGACAATGAAAATATTTGTTTTAAAAATAACTGTATTTGTGGCTGTATCCTAAGTTATTTAAGGAATTATTTAATATAGTAATAAAATAATTCAAAGATTAACTCTTTAGAATATTGGATTTTTTTCACAGGGCTAAAGAATGCTTAGATTCTCTCATCTCTTCGTTTCAGTCTTGTTCTTGATTCTCTCTCTTTAGATTTGTGTGTCTACTATTTTTGTTAAGTATAAAGATAATTATCTTATTTTCCTTGTATCTATATCATTAGTTGGAAGAAGGAAATTAATTCAATTTTTTTATTTCCTATAGAGACTTGTTTTAAAATTTTTATGAGTAAGTTGAGACTGAAATGTGAAACTATAAGTAATCGCATTTTAAATCTAAAACATGCTATTCCCTTTAAATGTAATTAGAGGGGAAGTTTATTTGAATTATTTGCAAAACTGATTAAGAAGAGTCAAATAGTTTGGGGCTCAAATTTTATTATGTATTTAGAATGTTTTGAGATGAAAAGCTGGCATCAGAAATTTTATCCACTTCACAAGGATAGGAAATCAGTTGGTTTTATAAAAGATTTACTTCTCAAGGATAATGTAAATGATACACTTTATAGAGCCGTAAATAGTTTACTCATCTCTTGAAAAGTGTCAGAAATTCTTCATTGTATTATTATTCCATGATGTCAAACAAAATATTCCATGAGTTTGTGTGAGTGGGTTTTTCTGAGCAGAAGGAGAAAATAGACTGCTACTTTGTAAATGTTAATATGTTTTAATAAGTATGTTGTAAATGCTTCTGACGTTTTGTTGTTATTTTGGTAGACTGCATGGTTTTTATAAATTATTTGCCACACTAGTCTTAAATTCAGTGATTAAAGTTTTTGTGATTGAAGGAGTTCTTTGTAATTAATTCATGGTTCACAGTGTCAGTGATATACAAGCCTTATAAGTTTTAGGTCAGAGTGTTTTTTTTCCCCCTAGCAACATGATGCAGAAGTTGAACACTTAACCGAAGTTCTTAAGGAAAAGAATAGAGAAACTAAGAGACTGAGGTCCTCTTTTGATGCATTGAAAGAATTGAATGATACCTTAAAAAAACAGGTAAGACCTGTTTTAATATGTACTGGATATAAGACATTCTAAGAATTGTTATATATTTAAAAAATTTATATATTTGTTACATTAAAAATATATTTACATATGTTTATAACATATATTACATTATATTCATGTTATATTTATGACATGTTTATATATGTTACATATATAGCACATTTATATTTGTTATATAACAATTTATATATAACAAATTAAAGTCAGCCTAAGAACATATTTCAGCTAGAGAAAATTTAGATTACATTTGTTACCTTTATTTTAAAATACTTCCAAATGTAAATAAAATATTCTTAAGCTCTTTGGTTTCTTATCTTTATTTGTTCTGGCAACCAGCTGACAAGCAAAAGGAAAAAAGACAAGCAAAAGAAAAAACCTTATAACCTGAGAACTAATTACATTTTTAGGTACTGATCTCTGGCTTTTATACTTATTATTTTAACTACTGTTACATATCATAGCTTATTTAACATTCATTTATTTTCGAGTATCTACTGTATCTTAGGCACTGTGTTAGACTCAGGCCTTCACATTGCTTGTGTTCTTGTGGTTATAAACTGGTATCACATTGCAGTATAATTGTTTATATAAGTATTGTATTTTGGATTAATATACAATACCAAAGTTGCATAACATAAATATTTTTGTGAGTTATGTCTATTTTTGTTCTTTCTTCTGCCAGTTTTTAGCTGAAAAATGTGAAAGTGAAGGAGTATAGTAAAGAGGGACAGGAGAATGACTATGTTTGTATTAGATTGCATGGGGAGTAGATTTTGGAGCAGAAATTCAGTTACTTTGAAAATGAAAGCATTGGACTGGGAATCTTTATGAATTCTAAAATGTAACTTGAGCCTCAGACTCTCCTAGAGTTCCTTTTCAAGCTGTCTGTCCTTTTCTGTTTCTGCCTTTATTTCCCTTTAATCTCTACTTGTTGTGATCCTCCTCTTCGGAAGTGATACATAGGTACCCTGTTTCTCACTTGATCTAATACTTTGGCTTTCCTCAATTCATTTATGGCCTCTTACTATTGGACTATGAATTTGATGGCCTGTTGTCTGTTTGGAGTCCCGCCTTATTCCTGGAGAGATCACTTTTTCTCATGACAGTATAATTCAACCACTCTCTTGTGAGAAGGGTTTTAAAAATTCCTAGCGTACGTACACTGTTGCCCTAGATACCTATCTCTTAGGTTTCTGTTATCTTTAATAATTTTTGTAAATGGTTGCATGAGTATGTGGTAATTGGGTTGGATATGTGGATTACTAAATATTTGGACCTCTTGATAATTGGATTTATGAACTAATATGTACAAACTGAAAACATTTGGCAGAATGCTTTTTGTTGTTGTTGTTAGATGGAGTTTCACTCTTGTTGCACAGGTTGGAGTGCAATGGTGTGATCTCAGCTCATGACAACCTCCACCTCCCAGGTTAAGCGATTCTCCTGCCTTAGGCTCCCAAGTAACTGGGATGGCAGAATGCTTTTTTTTATGATTTCTTTGTTAAGAATAGATCAGAGGTCAGCACACTTTTTCCATTAAGGATTAGGTAATAAATATTTTGGGCTTTGTAGGCCATATGGTCTCTCTTTCACTGACCCAGCTTTGCCATCATAGTGCAAAAACAGCCATTGGCAATAAGTGAATGAGTATGTCTGTGTTCCAAAATGACTGTATTTATAAAACAAGCAATAGGCACATTTAGCCAACTTCTGGCTAGATGAAGACATATACTTTGAAACTGCTGAAGAAAAAGGTATATTATTTCTGTGACTGACTTACACAGTAATTTATGCTAACACTGGATATACATTTTTCTAATAACTTAAAAGCATTTCTCATTAAGTCTTGCCAAGCTGAGGAGGCAAGGATTAATGTTCAAGACTCATCATGGAGAGAGAGTCCTAGTGTATACCCCAGGATCTCAGTTGAAAGGAGCAGGGTTGTGCCTTGGGAGTGGATGAATTAGAGGGAGACAGAACTGTCTCAGACTGAAACCTGGCCTTAATTAAGCTCAGTTCCTGATCAGATTAAGGTGCTTACTCATCAGTTTAAATGCCTAGCAGAGGAAAATATGTCTTTCATGCTATACAAAATTAATAATCATATCAAAAGACAGAATTGCATAATTAAAAATGAAGAAAAAACCCCCCAGAGAATATAAGCATACTTGGAAGTGATCCAGATATTGGAATTTAGCAGGTCTAGCTCATGACTTAGTGGTTTATTTTTTTGAAAAGCCACTTTTCATTCTTTAGGAAAATTATTTTAGATTCAGAGAGTACATGTGCAGCTTTGTTACATGGATATATTGTGTGACAGTGAGGTCTGGGCTTCTAAAGTGTACTCTTCACTCAAATAGTGAACATTGTACCTAGTAGGTTAATTTTCAACCCCTCTCCCTCCTCCCTTCCCTTTTGGAGTCCCCAGTATCTGTTATTTCCGTCTTTATGTTCATGTGTATTATTTATCTTTGACTTATAAGTGACAACATAGAATATTTAATTTTCCGTTTCTAAGTTCTTTCACTTAGGGTTAATAACCTCCAGCTCCATCCATGTTGCTGCAAAAGACATGATTTCATTCTTTTTTATGGCCACATAGTATTCTATTCATGGTGTATATAGATCACAAATTTGATTGTAAGGTACCATAAGTAATTTCATTAAAAAATCATTGGATACCCAGGAATAAATCTAAAGAGAGATGTGTAAGACATCTCTCCTGAAAACTACAAAACATTATTAAAAGAAAATAAGACCTGAATAAATTGAAGACATGTTCATGGAAGGGAAGACTCAATATTGTAAAGATCTCAGTTCTTCCATATATATACATATAAGTATATACACAGACACATAGACACACATAATCCCAGTAATACGATCCCAGTATTCTGTTGCATACTCATTCTATTGCATACTTAAGATTTTACAGTTTTCTTTATATATGTTATAGTTCAAATAGCAATTTTACTTAATAAAAACATTTTATAAAATATATGTATATGTTTTTAAGATGTGGAGTCTTGCACATTTTTCATAAAATGAAGTAAATTATCTTAGAAACCATTAATATTTTAGGGAAAAATGGTGACTTTAGTTGTGATCTAATTTAATCATGAATGCTATCTCTATTTGTTACATTGGTTGGCAGTATCAACCAGATTAGATAGTAGATTGAGAAACCCTTAGTACAAAACCAGTTATAGGTTTATATTGAAATATTGAACGTTTTCCACCCTTTAGTTAAATGAAGCAAGTGAAGAAAACAGGAAGATGGAGATTCAGGCTAAAAGAGTTCAAGCTCGTTTAGATAATTTACAGGTAAGTTGCCTGTTCTTCTCTAGAGACACAAGTATATTTTTATTTTTATTTTTATTTATTTTTTCTTTTTTTTAATTGCATTTTAGGTTTTGGGGTACATGTGAAGAACATGCAAGATAGTTGCATAGGTACATACGTGGCAGTGTGATTTGCTGCTTTCCTCCCCTTCACCTATATCTGGCATTTCTTCCCATGCTATCTCTCCCCAACTCCCCATCCCCCGCTGTCTCTCCCCTATTCCCCCCAACAGCCCCAGTGTGTAGTGCTCCCCTCCCTGTGTCCATGTGTTTTCATTGTTCAACACCCACCTGTGAATGAGAACATGCGGTATTTCATTTTCTGTTCTTGTGTCAGTTTGCTGAGAATGATGGTCTCCAAGTTCATCCATGTCCCTACGAAGGACACAAACTCATCATTTTTGATGGCTGCATAATAGTCTATGGTGTATATGTGCCACATTTTTCTAGTCCAGTCTATCATCGATGGGCATTTGGGTTGGTTCCAGGTCTTTGCTATTGTAAACAGTGCTGCAGTGAACATTTGTGTGCATGTGTCCTTATAGTAGAACGATTTATAGTCCTTTGGATATATACCCAGTAATGGGATTGCTGGGTCAAATAAAATTTCTATTTCTAGGTCCTTGAGGAATCGCCACACTGTCTTCCACAATGGTTGAACTAATTTACACTCCCACCAGCAGTGTAAAAGTGTTTCTATTTTTCCATATCCCCTCCAGCATCTGTTGTCTCCAGATTTTTTAATGATCGTCATTCTAACTGGCATGAGATGGTATCTCAATGTAGTTTTGATTTGCATTTCTCTAATGAACAGCAATGATGAGCATTTTTTCATGCTTGTTGGCCTCATGTATGTCTTCTTCTGTAAAGTGTCTGTTCCTATCCTTTGCCCACTTTTGAATGGTCTTGTTTGTTTTGTTCTTGTAAATCTGTTTTAGTTCTTTGTAAATTCTGGATATCAGCCCTTTGTCAGATGGGTAAACTGCAAAAATTTTTCCCCATTCTGTTGGTTGCTGATTCACTCTAATGACTATTTCTTTTGCCATGCAGAAGCTGTGGAGTTTGATTAGGTCCCATTTGTCTGTTTTGTCTTTTGTTGCCAGTGCTTTTGGTATTTTGGTCATGAAGTCCTTGCCTACTCCTATGTCCTGAATGGTTTTGCCTAGATTTTCTTCTAGGGTTTTTATGGTGTTGGGTCTAACGTTTAAGTCTTTAAACCATCTGGAGTTCATTTTAGTGTAAGGTGTCAGGAAGGGGTCCAATTTCTGCTTCCTGCACATAGCTAGCCAGTTTTCTCAACGCCATTTATTAAACAGGGAATCCTTTCCCCATTGCTTGTTTTTGTCAGGTTTGTCAGAGATCGGATGGTTGTAGATATATTGTGTTGCCTTCAAGGCCTCTGTTCTGTTCCATTGGTCTATATCTCTGTTTAGGTACCAGTACCATGCTGTTTTCATTACTGTAGCCTTGTAGTATAGTTTGAAGTCCAGTAGTGTGATGCCTCCCACTGTGTTCTTTTTGCTTAGAATTGACTTGGCTATGCAGGCTCTCTTTTGGTTCCATATGAAGTTTAAGGTGTTTTTTTCCAGTTCTGCGAAGAAGGTAATTGGTAGCTTGATGGGGATAGTGTTGAATCTATGAATTACTTTGGGCAGTATAGCCATTTTCACGATACTGATTCTTCCTAACCATGAACATGGAATGTTTCCCCATCTATTTGTGTCCTCTCTGATTTCGTTGAGCAGTGGTTTGTAGTTCTCCTTGAAGAGGTCCTTTACATTCCTTGTTAGTTGTATTTCTAGGTATTTTATTCTCTTTGTAGCAATTGTGAATGGCAGTTCATTCTTGATTTGGCTCTCTTTAAGTCTGTTACTGGTGTATAGGAATGCTTGTGATTTTTGCACATTGATTTTGTATCCTGAGACTTTGCTGAAGTTGCTTATCAGCTTCAGGAGATTTTGGGCTGAGACAATGGGATCTTCTAGATATACAATCCTATCATCTGCAAATAGAGACAATTTGACTTCCTCCTTTCCTATTTGAATACCCTTTATTTCTTTTTCTTGCCTGATTGCTCTGGCTAGAACTTCCAGTACTATATTGAGTAGGAGTGGTGAGAGAGGACATCCTTGTCTAGTGCCAGGTTTCAAAGGGAATGCTTCCAGTTTTTGCCCATTCAGTATGATATTGGCTATTGGTTTGTCGTAAATAGCTTTTATTATTTTGAGATACGTTCCATCAATACAGAGTTTATTGAGGGTTTTTAGCATAAAGGGCTGTTGAATTTTGTCAAATGCCTTCTCTGCATCAATTGAGATAATCATGTGGTTTTTGTCTTTGGTTCTGTTTATGTGGTGAATTAAGTTTATAGACTTGCGTATGTTGAACCAGCCTTGCATCCCCAGGATGAGTCCTACTTGATCATGGTGAATAAGCTTTTTGATGTGCTGTTGCAATCAGCTTGCCAGTATTTTATTGAAGATTTTTGCGTCTATGTTCATCATGGATATTGGTCTGAAGTTTTTTTTTCTTGTTGAGTCTCTGCCGGGTTTTGGTATCAGGATGATGTTGGTCTCATAAAATGATTTGGGAAGGATTCCCTCCTTTTGGATTATTTGGAATAGTTTCAGAAGGAATGGTACCAGCTCCCCTTTGTGTGTCTGGTAGAATTCAGCTGTGAACCCATCTGGACCTGGGCTTTTTTTGTGTGGTAGGCTCTTAATTGCTGCCTCAACTTCAGATCTTGTTATTGGTCTATTCAGGGTTTTGACTTCTTCCTGGTTTAGTCTTGGGAGGAGGCAAGTGTCCAGAAATTTATCCGTTTCTTCCAGGTTTACTAGTTCATGTGCTAGAGTTGTTTGTAATAATCTCTGGTGATGGTTTGAATTTCTGTGGAGTCTGTGGTGATATCCCCTTTATCGTTTTTTTATTGCATCTATTAGGTTATTCTCTCTTTTCTTTTTTATTAATCAGGCTGGTGGTCTGTTTCATTGATCTTTTCAAAAAACCAGCTCCTGGATTTATTGATTTTTTGAAGGGCTTTTTGTGTCTCTATCTCCTTCAGTTCTGCTCTGATCCTGGTTATTTCTTGTCTTCTGCTTGGTTTTGAGTTTTTTTTTTTTTGAAATGGAGTTTTGCTCTTGTTACCCAGGCTGGAGTGCAATGGCGCGATCTCAGCTCACCACAGCCTCGGCCTCCTGGGTTCAGGCAATTCTCCTGCCTCAGCCTCCTGAGTAGCTGGGATTACAGGCACGCACCACCATGCCCAGCTAATTTTTTGTATTTTTAGTAGAGACGGGGTTTCAGCATGTTGACCAGGATGGTCTCGATCTGTTGACCTCGTGATCCACCCGCCTCAGCCTCCCAAAGTGCTGGGATTACAGGCTTGAGCCACCGCACCCGGCCAGTTTTGAGTATTTTTATTATTGCTCCTCTAGCTCTTTCAATTTTGACAATAGGGTGTCAATTTTGGATCTCTCTTTGCTTCTCATGTGGGCACTTATTGCTATATATTTTCCTCTAGAGACTGCTTTAAATGTGTCCCAGAGATTCTGGTATGTTGTGTCTTCGTTCTTGTTGGTTTTGAAGAACATCTTTATTTCTGCCTTCATTTCATTGTTTAATCAGTCAGCATTCAAGAGTCAGGTGTTCAGCTTCCATGAAGCTGTGTGGTTCTGAGTTAGTTTCTGAATTCTGAGTTCTAACTTGATTGCACTGTGGTCTGAGAGACTGTTTGTTATGATTTCTTTTCTTTTGCATTTGCTGCGGAGTGAATTACTTCCAATTATGTGGTCAGTTTTAGAGTAGGTGTGATGTGGTGCTAAGAAGAATATATATATTCTGTGGATTTGGGTTGGAGAGTTCTGTAAATGTCTATTATATTTGCTTGTTCCAAGTCTGAGATCAAGTCCTGGATATCCTTGTTAATTTTCTGTCTGGTTGATCTAATATTGACAATGGGGTGTTAAAGTCTCCTACTATTATTGTGTGGGAGTTTAAGTCTCTTTGTAAGTCATTAAGAACTTGCCTTATGTATCTGGGTGCTCCTGTATTGGGTGCGTTTATATTTAGGATCGTTAGCTCTTCTTGTTGCATCGATCCTTTTACCATTATGTAATGTCCTTCTTTGTCTCTTTTGATCTTTGCTGCTTTAAAGTCTATTTTATCAGTGACGAGAATTGCAACTCCTGCTTTTTTTTGCTCTCCATTTGCTTGGTAAGCCTTGCTTCATCTCTTTATTTTGACCCTTTGTGTATCCTTGCAAGTGAGATGGGTTTCCTGGATACAGCACACGGATGGGTTTTGGCTTTTTAGCCAGTTTGCCAGTCTGTGTCTTTTTATTGGGGCATTTAGTCCATTTACATTTAGGGTTAATATTGTTATGTGTGAATTTGATCCTGCCATTTTGATGCTAGCTGGCTGTTTTGCCCGTTAGTTGATGCAGATTCTTCTTGTGTTGATGCTCTTTACCATTTGGTATGTTTTTGGAGTGGCTGGTATTGGTTGTTCCTTTCTATGTGTACTGCCTCTTTCAGGAGCTCTTGTAAAGCAGGCCTAGTGGTGACAAAATCTCTGAGTACTTGCTTGTTCACAAAGGATTTTATTTTTCCTTCACTTATGAAGTTCAGTTTGGCTGGATATGAAATTCTGGGTTGAAAGTTCTTTTCTTTAAGGATGTTGAATATCAGCCCCCACTCTCTTCTGGCTTGTAGGGTTTCTGCTGAGAGATCTGCTGTGAGTCTGATGGGTTTCCATTTGTGGGTGACCTGACCTTTCTCTCTGGCTGCCCTTAGCATTTTCTCCTTCATTTCAACCCTGGTGAATCTGATGATTATGTGCTTTGGGGTTGCTCTTCTTGAGGAATATCTTTGTGGTGTTCTCTGTATTTCCTGGACTTGAATATTGGCCTGCCTTGCTAGGTTGGGGAAGTTTTCCTGGATAATATCCTGAAGAGTATTTTCCAGCTTGGATTCATTCTCTTTGTCACATTCAGGTACACCTGTCAAACGTAGAGTAGGTCTTTTCACATAGTCCCATATTTCTTCGAGACTTTGTTGATTCCTTTTTACGCTTCTTTCTCTAATCTTGCCTTCTGGTTTTATTTCATTGAGTTTATCCTCGACCTCTGATATCCTTTCTTCTGCTTGGTCAATTCGGCTGTTGAGACTTGTGCATGCTTCGCAAAGTTCTCGTGTTGTGTTTTTCAGCTCCATTAGTTCACTTATATTCCTCTCTAAGTTGTCCATTCTCATTAGCATTTTGTCAAATCTTTTTTCAAGGTTCTTAGTTTCTTTGCATTGGGTTAGAACATGTTCTTTTACCTCACAGAAGTTTCTCATTACCCACCTTCTGAAGTCTGCTTCTGTCATTTCATCACACTCATTCTCCATCCAGCCTTGTTCCCTTCCTGGTGAGGAGTTGTGATCTCTTGTAGGAGGAGAGGTGTTCTGGTTTCAGGTGTCTTTGTCCTTTTTGCGCTGGTTTCTTCCCATCTTTGTGGATTTATCCACCTCTCGTCTTTGTAGTTGCTGATTTTCAGATTGAGTCTCTGAGTGGACGTCCAGTTGATGATGAAGTTATTTCTGTTTCTTATTTTTCCTTCTAACAGTCTGGCCCGTCTGCTGTAGGACTGCTGAAGTCCACTCCAGGCTCTGCTTGCCTGGGGATCACCTGCAGCAGCTACAGAACAGTAAGGGTTGGTACCAGTTTCTTTTTCTGCTATCTTTGTCCCAGAATGATGCCCACCAAATGTCAGTCTGAACAGTCCTTTATGAGGTGACTCTTTGGATATACAGGGGTCAGGGATCTGCTTGAGGAGACAGTCTGCCCTTTATAGGAGTTCAGGTGCTGAGCTGTGAGCTTCGTTGTTCAGAACTGCTGGGCAGGTATGTTTAAGTCTGCTGCAGCAGAACTCATAAACCCCTTTTTTTCCCCCAGGTGCTCTTTCCCAGGGAGTTAGGGCTTTATTTATGAGTTTCCGTTGTTCTGCTGCCTTTTTTTTCAGGGCTGCCCTGCCCAGCAAGGAGGCAGCCTAGTCACTGTCTGCCTGCAGAGCCTTTGCTGAGCTGCTGTGGGCTCCGCCCTGCTGCCGTGTGAACTTTTCTGCAGTCCTGTTTATATCGGTGTGGTTAGCACTGCCTCAGCAATGGTGGCCCACCTCTGTAATGGCGGACTCTCTCTGTAGTGGCGGGTTGCCTCGGTAATGGCGGGTTGCCTTGGCAACGGCGGGCTGCCTTAGCAATGGTGGACTATGTCCGTAGGGATGGAGTGCCTTGGTAATGGTGGACGCCCCTCCTCTACAGAGCTGCACTGTCCCAGGTTCAGCTGTGGTTGCTGTGAAACTCTCAACCCAGGGCGTTTCCAATTACTATTTTTTGTGTGTGTATTGGGGTGGGACCCACTGAGCCTGATCACCTGGCTCCCTACCTCAGGGCTTTTTTTTTTTTTTTTAAGTTGAACGGTTGACTCTCTCCCAGGTGTTCCAGTCGCCTGCTGAAAAGGTGCTGGGATCTGTGTGATTTCCTGTGTGGCCACCCACTGTGCCAACGGTGCTGCCCGGGAATCTCCTGGCCTGGCTCCCTATTTCTGTCCCCTGTTTAATCAGATCAATGGGCAACTGCCTTCCTGGAGCTCCAATCGCCAGCTTAAAAGGGCAACCAGACCAGTGTATTTTGTATGGAGAACTGCCACGCCAGGACGCTGGCAAAATAGCCATGCCAGCCAAAATAGCCACGCTGGTGACCCGTGGGCTCCTCCGCCTGGGAATCTCCTGGTCTGTGGGCAATAAAGATCTCTCTGGAAATGTGGCGTCCACTCACCCTCTGTGCTTTCACTGGGAGCTGCAATCCTGAGCTGTTCCTAAACCGCCATCTTGGATCTTCCCTCACAAACATGTTTTTAAATGATTGCCTTTGAGTTTACTCATTTTGATACAATTGTTCTTTAATTCATGCATATGTGCTATTGCAGAGGAAGCATGAGTTTATGACAACACAGAGATTAAAAGCAAGTCCCCATGCTGTTCATGAAATGAAAAGTTTAAAACAAGAAAAAGCACCAGTTTCAAAAACTTACAAGGTATGATGTGATTGAAAATTTCTCCAATGGGAAACCAGGAAGATTTATCTGATGCTTTAATCTTTTCTCTGATTTTTTTCTTTTTGGAATGTTTGCTCTGGAAAGGATTCACTATAATAATTTTTTAACTGGGAAATACCTCAAGAATGTTTAAAATATACTTTCATTTGCATAAACAAATTCCATTACAGCAGTGTTTCAGGTACAGTCATTGACCCACCATTAGTGGCTTTATTGCTTAATATGTTTTGACACTCCAGAAGCATTTGCTATTGTATTTCAGTCAAGATTGCAATCCATCCCTGAGTGAATTTCCATGTATCTTTGTTTTTCTAAGAATTTTTAAAATTTGAGGTATAAATTATATATGGTAACATAATGCACAAATCCTTTAGTGTAAAGTTTGATTAATTCTGGTAAATATTTCATGTTGCCTACAACCAAATATAGAATATTTCCACTATCTTAGAAAGTTCTGTAGTGCCCTTTTCTAGTCATTCTTTTCTGCCGGAAACCGTTGATCTGATTTGCATTATCATAAGTTAGTTTTGCCTGTTTGAGACATTTTGTCAGGGGAATTGTTTAGTGTGTACTTGTTTGTGTAAGGTTTTTTCTCAGCATAATTATGAGTGTATCAATACTTGGTTCCTTACTATTGCTCAATAGTATGACCGTATCAGAGTTTGTTCATTCTTCTGTTGATAAACATCTGGGCTTTTTCTAGTTTTTGTCTGCAGTGATTAAAGCTGTTATGAATATTGATGTATAGGGTTTTTATGGAATATGTTTTTATTTCTTTTGGGTATACCAGAACTACAATTCCTGAGTCATAAGGTAGATAAAGGTAGATGTATGTTTTTAACAAACTGACAGTTTTCCAAATTGGTGGTACTTTTTCATATTCCTATTAATAGTATATCAAACTTTTGGTTCCTCCACAGCCTTGTCAACATTTCGTGTTTTCAATTTTGTCTATTTTGACCCTTCAAGTGGATGTGTAGTAGTATCTTATGGGCTTTGATCATTTTGATATTTTGATAAATTTTCTAGTTCTTTGTAAATTGAGAAAATTGGAGTAAATTGAAAAGGTAAAGATTTTATATTCAGGAACTTCAGTTTACTCCAATTTTCTCAATTTATAAAGAACTAGAAAATTTATCAAAATATCAAAACTCCCCCTCCCAAAGTGCTGGGATTACAGACATGAGCCACCAAGCCCTGCCTGTTTTGTTTTTTAGATACAGGATCTGCCTCTGCCACCCAGGCTGGAATGCAGTGGCTTGATCATAGCTCACTGCAGCCTTGAATTCCTGGGTTCACATGATCCTCCCACCTCAGCCTCCGAAGTAGCTAGACTGTAGGCATACAACATTACACTGAGCTAACTTTTTTTTTTTTGTAGAGACACGGTCTTGCTGTGTCGCCCAGGCTGATATTAAATGTCTGGCAGTCCTCCTGCCTCAGCCTCTCAGAGGCACACCTAGTGTGTCTACCACACCTAGTCTGTCTTTACAGATTTTTTTTTCTTTTTTTTGAGATGGAGTCTTGCTCTTGTTGCCCAGGCTGGAGTGAAGTGGCACAATCTTGGCTCAGTGCAACCTGCGCCTCCTGGGTTCAAGCAATTCTCCTGCTTCAGCTTCCTGAATAGCTGGGATTACAGGCACCTGCCACCACACCTGGCTAATTTTTGTATTTTTAGTAGAGATGTGGTTTCACCATGTTGCCCAAGCTAGTCACAAACTCCTGACCACAGGTGATCCGCCCACCTCGGCCTCACAAAGTGCTGGGATTATAGGTGTGAGCCACTGTGCTGTCCTGCAGAGTTTTAAAAAACTACATTTAACATAGTTCCCTGCTTAAGTTGGCTATGTATAGTGGTATCTTATTAAGAAAAATACTGAATTAAATGAGAAATGTATTTTGTAATAATACTTAAAATTAATCTAATTAAATTTATAAAGTAGTTTGTTCTTTTCTTTTACTTTTCATTTTGGTAGGCTCTCAGAGGACAAGCAAGATTGCTAGGAAAAAAATGTTTATATCATGTCTACTGAATGTTATACTGCAAAGACTAACCAGTTTTGTGAGAAGAAAAAGTTACAACGTTTCATAGTGGAATTCTTTGGTTCTGGAAACCTTTAATTTTTTCTTAGAGTCTTTTAATTGAGGTGGTTCATGCTCTTGAGTTAAGACTAATTTTCCTTTTTTTTTTTTTTTTTTTTTTTTTTGCGACCAAGAGAGTGAGTTTCGCTCTGTCACCAAGCTGGAGTGCAGTGGTGCGATCTCAGCTCATTGCAGTCGCCACCTCCTGGGTTCAAGCAATTCTCCTGCCTCAGCCTCCCAAGTAGCTGGGACTACAGGGGTGTACCACCACGCCAGCTAATTCTTTGTATTTTAATAGAGACCGGGTTTTATCATGTTGGTCAGGATGGTGTCAATCTCCTGACCTGGTGTTCCACCTACCTCGGCCTCTCAAAGTGCTGGGATTACAGGCGTGAGCCACCGCATCTAGCCACTAATTTTACTTTTTTTTTTCCATCTTATCAAACTTGGTCAAAGAATTTTTATGAAATGTTTTCTTTTAGTAATAAAGTACAGTTATTGCAACTTCCTAATTATGATTACTTTTCTTGCCTTCTCTCAGTTATCGTTTACATTGTTTTTAATATTAGTTGGTGAGGTTTTCTTTGTTATTGTTGTTGTCTATTTTGAGGGGGAGTCTCACTCTGTTGCCCAGACTGGAATGCAATCTCATGATCTTGGCTCACTGCAACCTCCCCCTCCTGGGTTCAACTTGTTCTCCTGCCTCAGCCTTCTAGTAGCTGGGATTACAGGCATGTGCCACCATGCCTGGCTAATTTTTGTATTTTTAGTAAAGACAGGGTTTCACTGTGTTGGCTAGGCTGGTCTTGAACTCCTGACTTCAGTTGATCCACCTGCCTCAGCCTCCCAAATTGCTGGGATTACAGGTGTGAGCCACTACACCTGGCCTGCTGAGGAGGTTTGATTTGGAATTTCTTTTGTTTGGAGAAGCTCTGTTCTTAACATATTTTAATGAATTACTTTAGTCAAATTATTCTTTAATTACTTATAAAATTTAAGACTTATCTTTGAAGTTTTATATAAGTTGTGAACTGAAATAAATGATTTAATTTTTGACATATAGGTACCACTTAATGGGCAAGTTTATGAACTTTTAACCGTCTTCATGGACTGGATTTCGGATCATCATCTTAGCAAAGTGAAACATGAAGAATCTGGAATGGATGATAAAAAACCACAACTCAAATTTGCTTCCCAGAGAAATGATATTCAGGAAAAGTGTGTAAAGGTTTGTTTTTTTAATTTGAAATATGTGACTCAAAATATATGAAGATAAACAAAGGAAAAGCCAGGGCCAGGTGTGGTGGCTCATGCCTGTAATCCAGCACTTCAGGAGGCTGAGGCAGGCAGATCACCTGAGGTCAGGAGTTCGAGAGCAGCCTGGCCAACATGGTGAAATGCCATCTCTACTAAAAATACAGTAGCATGTGCCTGTAATCCCTGCTACTCAGGAGGCTGAGGCAGGAGAAATGCTTGAATCTGGGAGGTAGAAGTTGCAGTGAGCTGAGATTGCACCACTGTACTCCAGCCTGGGTGACAGAGCAAGACTCTGTTTCAAAAAAAAAGCTTACGAAAAACAGATTAGATAAGGCCCTTCTTGCTGGTCTCCTGCAGAGTCCAGAGGTAATGCAGGGTATCACATGGCTAGAGGGCTGAGCATGTTAGTGACGGTCTCTCTTCCTCTTATAAAGCCACCTGTCCAACTCCCATGATAATTCATTAACCCATGGATGGATTAATCCTCTCCTGAGTACATCCCCTATAACCCAGCCACCTCTTTTGAAAAGTTTTCTTTTAGAAATGGTATCTCCTTGTGTCACTGCTGGAGTACAGTGGCCCAGTCATTGCTTACTACAGCCTCCAAACTCCTAGCCTCAAGCATATACCACCTTGCCCAGCTAATTTAAGAAAAAATTTTAATGGAGATCGGGCCTCGCTTCATTGTTCAGGCTGGTCTTGAACTTCTGGCTTCAAGCAGTCCTCCTGCCTTGGCCTCCCAAAGTGTTGTCATTACAGGTGTGAGCCACTGTGCCCAGACCTCATCACCTTTTAAAGGCCCTATTCCCAATACTGTCCTATTGGGAATTAAGTTTCAACATGAGTTTTGGAGGGAACAGACATTGAGACCATAGCACATGGAAAAAGGGAATTAAAGTTGCTAATCAGCTGACCTTAAAATGGGGAGATTATCTAGGATTATGTGAGTGGTCCCAGTAATCATAAAAACTCTTTAAACCTGAAGGCATCAGAAGAGTAGATAAGAGACTCAACCCACTCTTGCTGGCTTTGAAGATGGAGAAAAAGGACCATGAGACGTGGAAATCAGATTTTTTTTTTTTGTGACAGAGTCTCGCTTTGTCACCAGGCTGGACTGCAGTGGTGCAATCCGGCTCACTGCACCCTCCACCTCCTGGCTTCAGGTGATTCTCCTGCTTCAACCTTCCAAGTAGCTGGGACTACAGGCACATACCACCATGGCCGGCTAATTTTTATATTTTTAGTAGAGATGGGGTTTTTACCATGTTGGACAGGATGGTCTCGACCTCTTGACCTCATGATCTGCCTGCCTTGGCCTCCCAAAGTGCTGGGATTACAGGTGTGAGCCACCACGCCAGCCATCAGATATCTTCTAGAAGCTGGGAATTACCCTCAGCTGACAGTCACAAAGGACATATAAATCTCAGTGCTCTAGCTGCAGCAAACTGGATTCTGCATGCAACTTAAATGAGCAAGGAAATGGATCCTCCCTTAGCCTCCAGAAAGGAACACAGCTCTATAGATACCTTGATTTTGACTGGCTGAGACCCACATCAGACTTCTGAACCTACAGAATTGTAAAATACTAAATTTGTGTTGTTTAAATATTAGGTTTGTGATCCTTGTTATGTCAGCAATAGGACACAAATACACCTTTGTTTACAATTTTGTCTCTTAGTACCTACATCAATTATTTCCCTATATCTAGCCTCATTTTAGAAGTAACTGCTAATTAGGGAGTCCTGCAGTATTAAAGTTCTGCAGAGAAATTTTATTTCTTATAACTAGATGAGGGCTGGGCACGGTGGATTACATGGCTCTTACCTGTAATCCTCACACTTTTGAGAGGTTGAAGTGAGAGGATCACTTGAGCCTAGGAGTTTGAGATCAGCCTGGGCAACATGGCAATACCCAACCTCTACAAAAAATGCACAATTATCTAGGTGTGGTGGTGTGCACCTGTAGTCCCAGTTCCTTGGGAGGCTAAGGTGGGAGGATCTCCTGAACCTGGGGAGGTCGAGGCTGCAGTGAGCTGTGATTGTACCACTGCACTCCAACCTGGGCAACAGAGTGAGACCCTGTCTGAGGAAAAAAAATGGAATCAGGATCATGTAATACTATGTTTTTATGTTAGTCTAATGACATACGAAAATAATATTTAGCACATGTATTTCTCAGAATTCATTTTAACATCTCTAAATAAAAAGTTGTCTGTTGATGTGTTCAGGGTTTACAGTTTCTGTTGAGTCTAGATCTTTCAATTAAAATACTTTTTTCAACTTATTACTATGTATTAATAAAGGTAGAGCAGTTTTAAGGCCTATAAGTAATCTTTTAAATATAATAGAAGGATAAGTAGTACCCAATTAACAAATTAATTACTTGTGGCCATCACAAGCAGGTATTCACATCTCTTTAGGAAGATGTAAAATTTGTAATTTTGAATAATGCAAACTTAACTTAAAACCTTTTTTTTTGTTGTTGTTATAGGATTTTGTTAACCACTTGGGCAAGAATTACATTTATTCTCAAAATATTTTAGCAAAATAATCTTTTCAGAAATTACCTTTGGAAACTTATGACACATTTTTTTTTTGTATACTTGATCGCAGTTACAACTCATCATTTGAGGATGAATTTAATATTTAAAAACACATAAAGCCACTGAGGAGTAAATTTTATATACTGGGTATAGCTTATAAGACTGATTTTCTTGTGTGATTCAGTGACCTAAGGGTGGAATATTGTCAAAGAAATTGAGGTAGAAAAATTCAATACAACCTGAAGTGGAAGGTACTATGTGTTACAAGTAATGAATGTAAAATTTGGCTGTAGGACCCACATCATCAACATGTTAGAGTAGGAAGTTTCAGGCCCTTATTCTTCCATGGAAACACCAAGTTAATTTCAATATAATAACCAGGACATGTTTGTGAGAATTGTAGAGACCAGTTGAAAGCTGTAGCACTCAAACTATAACATTAAAAAGAAGGGACTATTTCGAAAGGAGTGGGAAAGTTTGTGGCATTTTGCATGTGTGTTACCCTCCCAGTATAGTGCAGTGCAACCAGGAGGAAATTTCCTATACCCTACCTTCTCCAAAAACAAAGTAACGGACTATGTATTCAATATTTTGGCCTATCCAAAGTCTGCCCACAGGACTGGTATGCATCTCATCTCACTCAGAGTGCTGAAGGGAATGGTAGCATAGTTCGGAAGCTGCAGGAAACAGACATGATTGCTGTAGCACATAAGATCTTAAGAAATCTGCACTTCTGCTGGAAGAGGTCAGAGGGACACACATATTATGAGTTTCTGAGAAGAAACAGCAATAAATTGGTAGGGAAATTAAGACTGTCAAAAACACACATACAAGCCCACAGAAGGTACATCTTGCAGAAAAATTTGGATGGTCTCAAAACCAAGCTGGGCTGGTTCATGAAAGTGTTTCCTTGTATGAAGCCAGTTGTAAAGATTCAGAAAGTTATTTGTTTTCCATTTTTTCAAATGGTCAAATATCCATTCAAAAAGGATCAGAAGGCATACAAAGAAACAGGGACACTGATCAAATAAAACATGAAAACAAAACTTCAGAAACTGACCCTAAAGAAATGCAGAAACCTGAGCTTTGTGACAGATTATTTTAAAACTGTGACAGATAATTTAAAAACTGAGAATGCAAAAAGCTAAACAAAATCAGGAAAATGATGCAAGAACAAAGTTACAATATAAACTAGAAGATATAAATTATAAGAAGGAACCAAATAAAAATTCTGGAGCTGAAGAATACAATATATGAACTATAAAAGTCAAGAGCAGACTTGATTATACAGAAGAAAACATCAACACACTTGAAGACAAATAATCTAAAATTGAGTCAAAGGCTGGGCCCAGTGGCTTACACCTGTAATCTCAGTGTTTCAGGAGGCCAAAGTAGGAGGATCACTTGAAGCCAGGTGTTCAAGACCAGCCTGGTCAACATAGACCCCATGTCTACAAAAAACTGTAACAAAATAATAAAATTATGTCAGAGGAGCAAAGAGATCAAGTGAACCAGTATATGCGTAATGTAAGTCTCAGAGTGAGAAGAGAGAAGAAGTGACACAGAGCTTATTTGTAGAAATAATGGCTTAAAACTTCCCAAACTTGCCTTTTCTTGAGGAAAGAAATGGGCATACAAATTCAGGAAGCTCAAGGAACTCCAGAGAGGACAATTCCAAAGATACCCACTCTAAGATACATTATAATCAAATTGTCAAAAGTGAAATACAAAGATAAGCTTGAAATTGACAAGAGAAAAGCAACTTGTCATTCAAGGGAATTCTATAAGAATTTCAACAGATTTCTTAGCAAAAACCTTGCAGGCCAGCATGCAGTGGGATGATAAATTCAAAGTTGTGAGTGCAAAAAAACCCAAAACTGTTAACCAAGGGTACTATATCCAGCTAAACTATCCTTCAAAGATAAAGGAGAGATTAAGACTTTCTCAGATAAACAATAGTTGTGGGAGTTCAGTAATCATTAGACCTGCCCTATAAAAAATACTAAAGAGGGTCCTTCAGATTGAAATGAAAGCATACTACACAGCAACGTGAAGCCATATAAAAGTATAACATTCAAGGCTGGGCGTGGTGGCTCAAGCCTGTAATCTCAGCACTTTGGGAGGCTGAGGCAAGTGGATCACGAGGTCAAGAGATCGAGACCATCTTGGTCAACATGGTAAAACCCCATCTCTACTAAAAATACAAAAATTAGCTGGGCATGGTGGCACGTGCCTGTAATCCCAGCTACTCAGGAGGCTGAGGCAGAATTGCCTGAACCCAGGAGGCGGAGGTTGCGGTGAGCCAAGATGATGCCATTGCACTCCAACCTGGGTAACGAGTGAAACTCCGTCTCAAAAAAAAAAAAAAGTATAACATTCTGTGTTAAAGGCCAATAAATGGACAAATATAGTAAGTAGCCTATATTATC